GGCTGGCAGTCTAATATTTCCTGACTTGGGTGGAGGTTACACAGGTGTTGGTGTTGTAATAATTTACTAAGTTGTATAATTAAAATATTTATTTGTACACTAAAAAAATCAAATTCCCATAAATATTAACAAGTGCCAGCTTTTTATTATGTAAAAATGACTCCAATTCAAAATTGAAGCCAAAACCCCAAGATCTGTCAGATTCATTTAATTGTTACAAAAAATTACATTTAGCAATAAACCAAAAGAAAGAACATGGCTAATATATAAATTTAGAATTAATGCTATTCCTGCAAGTCAACACTCATCATAATGACTGTCTTAGTCAATAACAGAATACCACAGTCTGGCGGCTTATGAACAACAGACCTTAAGACTATAAGGAGGCCAAACAAACTCTATCAGGACCCTTATGTTTTCCAACTGGCTGGCTCACTCAGCTGTACTTAAAAAGTAACCGATGCAGTCCTGTTCTGCTGAGCTAATACTTTTCATCTTATAAGTCACTCATTCTCAAGAGCCCCTAAAAATACAAGGCCCTGAGAACTAGAATTTTCACCCAACTTTACATCACTAAAGTGATATAAATAACCCTCCTTTACTGCCTTAAACACTTAAGCTTCTTAGTTTCATCCGCTTTTGACTAGAATATGAGACTTTGGGTACAGTGCCTACAATTCTTTGGGACCAGGAATATTAAATATTGTATGAATTTAACTACATTGGAATTAAAATGAATTTAAAAAAAGAAAAAAAAAAGTATACCAATAGGTGAATCACCTTAATTCTAAAGATATTACTCCCCTAACCAAATATTTTTCTAAATATTTTCTATGTGCCAAACACTGTGCTAAATGCAGGGGATACAAAACAGTCCAAGATTGGCTCTACTCTCATCTCAAGGCGCTTTTGTAATATATTTGGGAAAATTACACCAAATAAAGTTCTTATCTTTACTGTATTGCAACTAATAATAATATTAATGGCATTGGATTTCAATTATTTATTCCCAACAGACAGACTCTTCAGTGTCAGCAACTGTGTATGCTACAATTCATCTCTATATCCTCAGGACCTAACACGGCACCTAGCACACAGCATGTGATAAAAAAAAAAAAAAGTTTGTTAAATAGAAAAAATTAACACAAGGTAGCACATGACAAACAGAAAACAACAGACAATAAAAAGAATACAGAGACCCAACCACCATGTGAGACCTTACCTACTGAAATAAACTGTTTCCCTGTCCATCCTTCCACCCACTCTCCTTCACCCCAGCCTGCAGTCATTGATTCATTCACTCATTTAATAATCTGATATACACAAAGCGCTTACTGCATACTAAGCACTGGATTGAGTACCAGTGATACAAAAATTAATAAAAATCATATTCCCTTTATTAAAGGAACCTATAACCTAGCAGGAGAGACAAACATATAAAGAATAATGCTTTAAGTGCTGAAACAGAGGTCTGAACAAAGTGTTACAACGGCGTAGTTGAAGAAGCACCTCACCCTGCAGGGATCAGGGTCAAAAAAGGATTTCACTGAGAAACTGACCCTCAGTAACACCTTAAAGACTTGAGAAGGAGGAGAGAGAACAGTAAGCGCCAAGGCAATAGTGTGATGAAGAATTTCAAGTGTTACTGTGTGGTTACAATCACACAGTAAACAAGGAGAGGGAAGATAACGGTCAGGTTTTGAAAACCTTTAAATCCCACCCTCTTGGGCGAGGTCCTGAGGGCGAAGAGGAATGCCAAAAGATTTTAAACCAGAAAATTGATCATGGTTTTGGAAAACACTGAAAGGATGGCGTGGGCACTGGACTATGAAGAGAAGCACGATTTCAGAGTCACTCCTTTCCAGCACAAAGCAGTGGCCCCAATCAGGTACCTAAACATTGATGACCATGACATATCCTTCACCAACTGTCTGCACCCTTGACACTCACACACCGCAACCTAAACTGCTTCATCTCTCCGGGCCACACAACCCTTTCAAACTTCTTGGAAACGTACCCTCACAGCCACAGCCAAAAGTCCGTTCAGGAATGTCAATGCACTGCTCCCATGATTCGCACGCTTGCGTCGGCTCTGGCTGTCACGTTCCTTTCCCCCCGCCTACGTCGTGTGTCTGCACAAGCTGGTCTTTTCCAGCTCGTGAAATCTGGGAGGGCTTTGCGTCTTCGCGCCGCAACCCTCCACAGAAGTCCCATCACTCCCCGCTTCTCCACTTCAAGCCCTGCAGGCCCAGCCTCGCCTCCCCCGGCGCACACGTACCCCCTCGGTCTTCATGTCCAGGATCTTTTCCACCTCAAACACATCCTCTCCGTCCTCCTCGCTGTCTCCAACTGCCTCCGCTCCTTTCGTGGCTGCGTCCTTCTCTTCGCCCACTGCTCCAACACCTTCTCCTTCGACTTCAGGAGACTCACCGTTGCTGTCGGCACCTGAAACAGGAACTGCACTCATGCTCGCTCCCTCGGCAACGGCCGCCGCCGCCACCGCAGCCATAACAGGAGCCCAGCAAACCGCCGAGGAAGAGCTGCTGCGACACACACCCCAGCAGTTCTTCGCGCTCCGCACTTGGCCCTAATCCTCTCTGGCAGCGTGACGCTGCGAGGGAAACCAGCCAATGGCGGACTCGGGACCCTGGAGCGACACACACTGAAACCAATCACATCGAGGCGGGCGCGCTGGAGCCCCGCGGAGCCTACGGGAAGCGGGTGGGCGGGCCGAGGGGGGCGCCCCGGCGGAAGGGCGGGGCTGGTGGGGCCGTGAGAGAGGGTCGGTAGGTAGGCTCTGGAGGGGAGAGGAAGGGGTGTTTGGGAGCCCCTAGGGGGTGGGGCAGGAACGGAGGGGGGCGGGGAGGGGCTTGTCAGGGCGCGAGGGAGAAAGGAGTGAGGCTGACATGGAGCCTCGGAGAGGTTGGGGCTCCAGCGCTGAGTGGGGAACAGGCGGCGGAGGCGGGCTCGGGAGCTTCCCGTGTTGGGAAGGGGCGGCCGGGGAACACCAGAGCGCGAGAGTCTGACTGGAAGAGAAGCTCAAGCGCCTGAGGGGGCCGAACGCTGCGCGGGGTCTTTTCTCTCTTCCAGTTGCTCCTGACGGTGTCGACGGGGGGCTTTCTAGGAAAGCAGCCCCCACCTTCTGCCCAGACCTGAGCGGGCCAGAACGGAATGCCGGGCCATTCGTGCATGTGTAATTTTGACTCGTTTAACGCGTGTGAACGATACAAACGTAACTCAGAGTGCTATTATATCTTAGTATTGTTTAAAGTTAGGGAAAAACTTTTTTAAGTAACAAGCCCAAAACAATTATTTTCCAAGTTCTTGGGATATTTTTTTCCCCATTGAAAATACCAGAGGACGCGATTAAAGTATTTTGTCCAGTAGTGACAAAGATAGGTCACCCAAAGTTGCTAGGATAATCCACTTAAGGATAAAATATTTTTCTCTTTGAATTGCAAATAAAGTCTTTATGGTAGTGAACTTTTAATTTTTTTAAAAGATTTTATTTATTTATTAGAGAGCGAGAGAGAGCATGAGTGGGGAGAGGGAGCCTGAGGCGGGGCTTGGTCCCAGGACTCTGGGAGCACGACCTGGGCCGAAGGCAGCAGCTTAGTCGACTGTGCCACCCAGGCGCCCCCAGAACTTTTAATTTTTTAAATTTCTTTTAAAGTTTTATTTATTTAAGTAATCTCTACACCCAACATGGGGCTCAAACTCACAAACTGAAGATCAAGAGTTGTAAGCTCTTCTCACTGAGCCAGCCAGACGCCCCAAAGAGCTTTTTATTTTTGTTTCTTTGAATGGTGGACTTAATTTATAAGATTAACTCTTTCAAATTAACTCTGAGGTTAACTAAAGAATCATCTATGATCCTTTAGATCCATTTGAATGATGTAGGAAAGATGTTAGGGTTCAAAGCCTATGGCCAAGAAAGAATTTTTGAGACATCTTTGGTGCAAAAAGGTGGTTTTATTAAAGCATGGGGACAGGACCTGTGGGGCTCTAGAGACCTGCGCTGGGGTCATTATATACTTTCAAGTTGGGAGGGAGTTGGGGATAGCACAAGTTTCTAAGGAATTTGGAAGCAGGGTTTCCGGGACCTTGAGGGGGCTAGCTATTGTTGGGAAATGTCATTTATTATGAGATCCTTCAGATGTGTATTGGTGGGTCATATGCTTGGGGGATGAGTGCCAACATATATCTTGCAGGGGTAGAGATGAAGTTTCCAAAGGAATTTTTGTATGTTAAAGTAGACTTACAGGATCCTGGAGGGTCAGGCTAAGGTTGCCTTTTGCCCTTAGGAAAGTATCAACATCAAGGCAGGTGAGTCCCTAAAGGAATGTCACTCTGCCTGTTTCAAGGACTTGTCAGTCAATGGGCTGTAAGTAGTAGGAAATTTAATAATTTTTCTTCTGCCTTTGTTTCCCACATCATGAAGAGGCTCATCAGATCTTAAGTGGGCTCATTGATTTATTATTTATTTAGCTTACTAAATGCATCCTGTGCATGACTATACTAAGCATTACAAAGAGCATATACAAAGAGCAATAGAGCATGGTATTAAAATTCAGCTGACTAAATTTGAAGATCTTACTGGTTTTATTCAACAATTGGGGCAGCATCCCATCTAGCAAATAGAAAGGAGCTCCAAAGAAATGCAGAAAAGGACAGGCTTTTCATGACAGAAAGGGGGAGGGCAAAGAAGTCATAAACAAAAGAAAGGATTATTTCAGGCAAATTCACTGTCCTTTGGGGGAATGCTGGGGTCTATCAAGAGGATTACCTCACCAGTACTGCCAGGAAATTCCAGACTACTGGTGAAGATTATATTCCTAGAAGAGCCTGAAACTGCAATTCGGTTGGGTATCAAGTCTTGGTTTGCTGATGTGGGGGTTGACACAGATAACTCCATTTTGGGCCCGTTGTCTCTTTCTTAACAGTCTCTCTGCCCTGCACAGACTCTTAGTCTATAAAGGAAGACACAAAACAATTCTAGTAATTAGATATCTTTTTAAAGTAAATTTTTAAAAATACTATAATCAAATAGTATTAGTTATGGGGAAAGCTCATTTTTTTTTCAGAAGAATTTCAGTTAACAAGCATAGAAGAAAACAGAGAATCACAATATTTCGTGAAATGATTCAGGCAACTGTTAGGTGAGAGATTGATGAGGAACTGGCTGCCAAAGTATCTCTTCAGACTATTTGTTGGTTGTAGGAGAAACAGAACTTCACATTGGAAAATGCACTGATCAATGTTAGCATTACTAAAAGTAGAACAACTTGGGCGCCTGGGTGGCTCAGTTGGTTAAGCGACTGCCTTCGGCTCAGGTCATGATCCTGGAGTCCCTGGATCAAGTCCCGCATCGGGTTCCCTGCTAGGCGGGGAGTCTGCTTCTCCCTCTGACCCTCCCCCCTCTCATGTGCTCGCTCGCTCTCATTTTCTCTCTCTCAAATAAATAAATAAAATCTTTAAAAAAATAAAAGTAGAACAACCAAACTATATGGCTCCTATTGATAAAAATACTGATCCTTAATCTATTCAGGGCCTTAGATCGAATATCCAGTTTACAAGAAATATGGGGAAAGAAAAAATGGAAACAATCGGACAAATCCAGAATGTGGGACATACTATAGGACAATTGACCTTGTTTCTTTAACAAGTCAATAGCAAAAGAAGAGGGAAGAAAAGATGGTTCTAAATTTATAAAAACTTGGCAAAATATTTTAAATGTGGAATTTATGTTCATTATACTATTTTCTCTACTTTTATGTATTTTTGAGATAAAAAATTTAAGTATATGTTCACTGTAAAAATTTTTACAGTGAATATATAAGATAGAAATAATATAAGATATAGAATATAAGAATATAAGATAGAAATAAAGTTCCTGTTCCTCAAAGGTAACCAGTTTGGAATATGACATGACAGACTTTTATCTCATACATGTATAAACACCCATTTATATAATTTTTAAATGAGCTTTATTCCACATTGTTCTGCAACTGTAATATATATATACATATATATATACACACACATATATATGCATATATAACATATGCATGTGTGTGTGTGTCCATATTTTGGCAAGATAAATTTCTAGAAGTGGAATTCCTATTAGTGAAATTTATAGGTCAAGGAGGGTAGTGATTTAAATTTGGATAAATACTGCAAAACTTTTTTACTTGTATATGTTTCCAGTAACAACATAAGGAAGTCTGTTTACCTTCACACACTCTGCTACTAGGTATTATCAATCTTTTATCCCATAATCTGATAAAACAAGAAAAGAGTTATCTTGATGATTATGTCAAGCAAACAAGCAGACAAGGCCAAGGGCAAGGCCTGATTGATTTAGCCATAAAGACATAACAAGCCATTTTAGATTTAGATGGTTTATTGTATAAACAGCAAGAGGAAGAGTAGTCAAAGATGCCAGCTCCCCTTGGTCCTTGTCCCACACCCTAAGAGGAGCTAGATGATTGCAATGTGAGTTGTGGGACACATCACTGCTGAGGAGCTAATTCTAGATGCAGCTAGGAGGATTTTTAGTCTGAAGCTGTATTCTGAGCTTCATATCACCTCAGAACTGGGAGGTGATGAGAAGCAGTCTTATGTCTGCCTCTCAGGGAGATAGAGCGGTGGATGGGAGAGGGCCTCATGGTAGCTCCTCACAAGTTTCCCATCCTTTGAGTATCACAAAACATTCTGCCAAGACATAGCTATGGTTCAAGTCCAGGAATTAGGAAGGGTCACACATCAGGATAATGGAAGTCACTCAAGATGAAGGCAGGACTGGCAGTAGAAAGGGAAATCCTGAACCTTATGTGAATGAGGGTAGGTACTGGGCATTTGGCAAGTCACAGCAATAAGGACAGGTTGGAGGATAGCCAAAAGACTGAATCTCAAAGAAACATGATATGATGAGCACTGGGTGTTATATACAACTAATGAATCATTGAACACTACATCAAAAACTAATGATGTACTATATGTTGGCTAATTGAATTTAAATTAAAAAGACAAGAAAACAAAAACAAACCAGGGTTTTTACATAAAGGTAGAGAGGTAATGGCCTGGAAGTGATAGTGTGGAGGAAGGTGGACAGTGACCTTACAACTTTCATAAAAAATAACTCAAAATGGATCATACACCAAAATGTAAAATGCAAAATTCATAAAACTTCTGTAAGATAACATAGGAGGAAATCTAGATGACTTCAGGATTTTATTTAATTAATTTATTTTATTTTATTTTTTTTTAAAGATTTTATTTATTTGACAGAGAGACACAGCGAGAGAGGGAACACAAGCAGGGGGAGTGGGAGAGGGAGAAGCACGCTTCCCGGCGGAGCAGGGAGCCTGATGCGGGGCTCGATCCCAGGACTCTGGGATCATGACCTGAGCCAAAGGCAGACGCTTAATGACTGAGCCATCCAGGCGCCCCTTTGACTTCAGGATTTTAGAGGCAACACCAAAGGCAAGATCCATGAAAGAATTGCTTGGGATACCTAGTTTCTCTAAGTGACAAAAAGATGTATCAAGGGATCTATAGACTAGGAACCACATGCATATTGAGGGCAAAGGTCTGGATACTCAGGGCCCTGGAAACAGGAATGCATGCCAGGAACACTGACATCAGCCAAAGACCTTGTTTCTCCCCAGCTTACTAAGTCCAGCTGGGCCAGTTCTCTACTAGAGTCCTTAAAGGGGAGAAGGGAATGAGGCTCCAGGACTAGCCAGATGTGTCTCTTATCACCTTAAAATATTTAAACACAAATCTGTAATATTGTAATATTTTGTTATCACTTGTTAGTTCATTAAAATAATCAATTGTGTTTCTCATTATTTTAAAGTAAGTACTACATTGAATAAAATCATAATTAAATTTCATTATAGGTATCTATTGATATCTGATTATTTTATACATGGAAACATGACTAATGTTTAAAATACAACTTCAGATGATTAAGCTTTGACTGTAATTAAGAACTCTGTGAAGAGGAGATGTGGTGTTTATGGTTTGGATCCCCAATAGCTGTTTAGTGGCAGAGTCCCAATCTTGACCCAATTCAAGCCGTTGGCAGATAGATGGATATTGTCCTTCAGTTCTTCTTACCCATTCACTCGCTTTCTTTATTTCTTCAAAAGTCCAGGGAATATTTCTAGATTAAAAATAAATGGTTCCATCAACTTCAGAATATAATTATATATGAAATATAATGCGATATCAAATCCTAGCACATCATATCAGACAAAATAATTCTGTCAAAAATTAAGATATGCAATAAAAGCAATTCTGTCTGACATTTTATGAAAGTTCTATCAGACTGACACGGTGCTTTTAACTTAATACATTTTATTTTATTTTATTTTTTTAAGATTTTATTTATTTATTTGACAGAGAGACACAGCGAGAGAGGGAACACAAGCAGGGGGAGTGGGAGAGGGAGAGGGAGAAGCAGGCTTCCCGCTGAGCAGAGAGCCTGATGTAGGGCTCTATCCCAGGACCCTGGGATCATGACCCAAGCCAAAGGCAGATGCCTAACAACTGAGCCACCCAGTCACCCTTACATTTTTAAATATACTATACCCATCACTTTCCAGCTTCCAAATGCTTCACAGACTTCCTTGCTGCCTCCGGGACAACTCAGCTTCCTCTAGCCTTTATATATATATATATATATATTTTTTTTTTTTTTGGTCATCCCCTTTCCATTCTTCTTGATCTAAATCCATCCATTCTTCAAGTAGAAACTCAATACTATTTTACAAACCAGGTTTCTATTTTTCTTTCCTTTTTACTGTACCAGGAATTCTCAATTTGATTAGTTAGAAAAATGCCTAAGACTCACCCATGAAACAGCCATATATTCTGTCACACAAATCAGGAACAACATACTACTAAACTGTGCATAACATAAAAACTTCAAGTTTGTGGGGCGCCTGGGTGGCTCAGTTGGTTAAGCAACTGCCTTCGGCTCAGGTCATGATCCTGGAGTCCAGGGATCAATTCTCACATCGGGCTTCCTGCTCAGCGGGAGTCTGCTTCTCCCTCTGATCTTCCTCCTCTCATGCTCTCTGTCTCCCATTCTCTCTCTCAGATAAATAAATAAAATCTTAAAATTAGAAAAAAAAACTTCAAGTTTGTGTGCATAAGATGATATCAAACAAGACTGTCAAATATTCAAAAGTCTACTCAAGACTCAAAAATTCTGAGATTTTTCACTAATGCTAGTTAGCTACTTCCTCATTTATCTTGTCACCTGCTAGAATTTATTAGCAAGCAAGTGGTAACATATACTAGAGTTTTAAAAAAACTCTATGGGGGGAACTAAAAATTTGGAAAATTCTCTCCATCTTCTTGATTTTTTTCCCTGTGAACTGGGAAAGGGTCATCATTATACTGTGGTGGCTAAGAGCTGAGTTCAAATCCTGACTGAAATCACACAATGTTGGCTGTGTGATATGGTGCAGTCTTCATTCAACACTGGAAGTCTCTGTTTCCTCAATTATGATAATAACATGAGCTCCTACGGCTTTGTTGTGGGGATTAGCAAAACACATGGATTTCACAGGCTTAAGAGTCCCTGGCACAGAGTAGGCAATCAATAGATATCAGATGAATATCATGATGACACAAACATACTAAATGGGAAGCATGTCCAAAGTGGTTAAAAGACCTGTTTCCCGGGGCACCTGGGTGGCTCAGTCGTTAAGCGTCTGCCTTCGGCTCAGGTCATGATCCCAGAGTCCTGGGATCAAGGCCCGCATCAGGCTCCCTGCTCAGCGGGAAGCCTGCTTCTCCCTCTCCCGCTGTCCCTGCTTGCGTTCCCTCTCTCGCTGTGTCTCTGTCAAATAAATAAACAAATAAAATCTAAAAAAAAAAAAGACATGTTTCCCAGTAATCATTAGTCTACTTATAGTTATGAACTATGGAAAGCAACAAAACTAATTTTAAATATTTTCACTAATTCCACTGGTTTTCCTTTAGCTGACCTCTGAATTTTGACTGACCATCCCACTAGTATGAAGGTTTTGTTCATATTCCTCCATACAATGTGCTACTGTATTAATGTTATATGCATCATGAAGCAGAAAAAGAAAAGTTATAAATTAAATATGCAATAAACAGGAAATAAAAATTACTTAAAAGTTCATTAAAGTGCCAACAAACCTTTTTGCTCTCATAATAACTGTCATATAATAAGAGCAATGTGATGGAATATACTTCATTATTTTTTAAAATCTTGGTATAATACTTTGTGATATTGCAATTCAAGAGTAGGTTCAAAGTTATTAATACTTGTTTTAATGGCTATCATAGTTGTGATGCCAGACAGGTCAAGAGGGAAGGCCTTATGCCCCTCGCCAAGAGGGTTCTTGGCTCTTCGAGAGAAAGAATTTAAGAGCAAGCCATGTAGAGAAAGGGACAAAGGCTTAGTAAGTATACAAGTAAGAAAGGAGCTACTTCACAGATAGAGTAGTGGCCTCTCTTCCCAGGGGAGGAAGAGGACCAACGCCCCCAACCCTTGCCTCTAACAAAGGGTTTTATGAGGGTTTTTTTGGTCTTTTTTTTAGCTAACCATATAAGGAGGGGCTTACTCTTTAACTTTGGGTTTAACATTTACATTGGGCAGTTAGTTTTTCCATTGTCTTAGAGTTGTAGAATTACCCACAGGAGCAATTTTAGGAATGTCCAGTCTTTATGACTTTTATTGCTGGAGGGCATGGGGTCTTGTGGTCTTCCATGAGTTGTAGCTTGTTACCTGCTGACTTTTAGGTTAAGGATCAGCCTAAAAATCAAAATGGCTTTACTTTGGTCAACTTGTTTCCTAAGCCTCTCTTCCCTCTGTCTCAGTTGAAAAAGATCTAAATAGAAGAAGTGCCTCTTTGGTTGTGCTTATTAAATCAAATATTAACTTGTCAGTCCTGTCTACTAGTTCTTTGAAGTATTTTTCTTGATATTCACTTAATAAATTTCCATCTTTCTCACCATGAGAAGGTGCTGCTTTTCTTAAAAATGGAAGTATAAATTAAGTACGGTAAAATGCTCAATTTGTTATTTTCTGAGTACCTATTTTGTGTTTGATGCTGTTGCGAATTGAGAATTTAATCAGTCTTTGTGAGAGGGTAAAAATAGGTCTGCTTATTTATTTTAATTTCATCTGTAAATATGTATCTCTAAGGGACAAGAACTTTTTCTTAAACATGACATTAAAATAGCTATAAATAATTCTTTAATATCACAAAATATCCAGGTAATGTTTAAAACAGGTCATGATCCCAGGGTCCTGGGATCGAGCTCTGCGGGTAGCCTGCTTCTCCCTCTCCCATTCCCCCTGCTTAATTTTCAATCTCTCTCTCTCTCCCTTTAATAAAATGCATTTTGTTCAAATCAGGATCCAAAGTAGGCCTAACATTGCCTTCGGGCCATGTGTCCTTTAATTTATAGCTTCCACTCCTCCCCTCTTTTTCCTTTTGCCATTTATTTCCTCACATTCCAGACACTGCTGATGGCAGTCCATGGTATAATTTAACATATTCAATCTCTTCTCTCTGGTATCTGGTCTTTATTATGCAAAATATTTACCTAGTTTCAAAGTCAAAAACGTAAAACAAAGTATATTAGGAGAAACCTAGCTTCTAACCTTGTCTCCTCTTCCTCCCCCTATAGATAATATTTTATTAGTTTTGCTAGTTTTCCCACTAATCTTGCCTTTTTGAAAAAATCACAAGCAAATTATATAGGTATGTATGTATATGTATATATATGTATATTGTGTGTATATGCACACACATAAGGGGTGACCATTTGTGTGGGGTATGGATGGAGTTTTGTAAGTAAAGAGGGTATTCACATGTGCCTCAAGGCCTCTTGTGGTGCCAGAGGTCAGCCCAAGGACTAGGAGCCAGGGCCCCAGAACAGGCTCTCTCTACATTGTCATATTATGGCATCAAACTTCAAGTGGGCACAGAATTCTAAATTTGAACTCAGTCTTCAAGAACTTGTATTTGTCAAGGCAGGACTTTAAAATGTGTTTTATTTAACAGTTTGTTAGTTTGATTTATAACATTTATTTATTTATTTATTTAAAGATTTTATTTATTTGACAGAGAGAGACACAGAGAGAGACACAGCGAGAGAGGGAACACAAGCAGGAGGAGTGCGAGAGGGAGAAGCAGGCTTCCCGCAGAGCAGGGAGCCTGATGTGGGGCTTGATCCCAGGACCCTGGGATCATGACCTGAGCCGAAGGCAGACGCTTAACGACTGAGCCACCCAGGCGCCCGGAAGTTTGGATTTTTAAGCAAAAAAAAAAAAAAAAATCTAACATGGATTTGGTGCTTGCCAAGTGTTCTTAAGTACTTTTTTTTTTTCTAGCAGTGCTGGGTGTGGTCTTCCTTACACCACATTTCCCTCACCCCACTGCAGGGCTGGGACTTAAGTACTTTTTATATATGAGCTCATTTAATCCTCAGAGCAAACCTATTAATCCTATTATATTTTCATCATCATCTTCATTTTATAGACAAGAGGTTAAACAACTTGCCCAGAGCTCTGTAACTCTATGCTAAACTGCTTCCATAGACTGTTGCCAACTTCAGAACTTCTAAAAATCCTGTGCAGGCCAACAAAGAAAACCTACCCACAGGCTGCCTTTTTCCCCCACAGTGTTCACTGTCTGACTAGATCTCCTGCACTTACCCGATACCACAGGAGAACAGCCTGGTGTGCCGGACATTTCTTTTCACAAGCTGCAATGTCAGGCTCTCATTCTGGAGGTGGCCATCAGATATAAGGAGAATGCTCCGTAAGCCTTGAGAAGGGTACAGTAGATTTAAATATCGGAGCGTTTTCCAGAAGTCTGTATTTCCCATGGTAGGTGTAGCAGACTGGAGGAAATGAAGTGAAAGGTTATTCATTCCTTTTGGGTAGAGTCACCATTACCTGTAATCATTTACTGAAGCATGTCTCAATGATGGTTTAGAGATATCATCACTGAAAAGATTTTTTTTTAATTACACATTTGTGGAACAACTATGCTTATATCCTGTTAGTTTATTTCACATCACACAGTAACTATAATGTTATCGGTTAACACCTATTTGATTTTTTTATGGTTTTCCTGGGTTTGCTGGCCTGGAATGAGATGGCAACTAGTCATTCTCAGCATGTGCCATTTTAAGAAAAAGAAAAAAAAGAAACAGAAGAAAACATTCCAACACTGTTAATGCCGGTTGTATTTAGGTGGCAGAACTGTGGGTGATTTTTTTTCTTTCTACCCTTCTTAATTTCTAATTTTTCTTTAATGAGTTTATATCGCTTTTATTAATAATAATGATAATAAAAGGGCCCCATTGACATACAAAAACTGAAGGTCTAGGGGTGTTCTATTAGTGGTCTTGGGGAGAATAAGTCCAGACAATACCATTAAAACTTGATAGGAAAAGACCCAAGAGATAAAGGAAGGTTCTTTTACTCACCATAATGAACTCTGCTGGTGTATTATTGCTTGTGATGTACTTAGGATATGAAAATAATTCCTTGTAACCTGTGTGATAAGATTGGCGTGAGGCGCAGCTATTAAATATTCACTTTATCGACCACTAACAATCATGTTTGATAGTTTAACATATAAAAAAAACACTTCACCACAGTATTCCTTTAAATAATTAGTGCATTGAAACTATGCACTTTACTGTGTAAAATGTTCTGAGTAAAATTACATGTGTACACCTTTGTTCTGTAGTGGATCGCTCATGCAAAGTAAGATGTGGGGTGTCACAGCAGCACAGACCGCCCGGCCACCGGAGGGACACATTCTCTTTCCAGGTGCTTGGTACCCCAGCCTTACTTGACCTCTACCTCCGACAGCAGCAGACCCTAGCTCCTTCATAAAAGGGCTCAGTCTTCTGCTGAATGGCACAGAAGAATCAATAGGACACGACTGTCCCCTCACTCTACTCCGTTCCTTCTCTCATTCCTAAAGTATCTTCTTCTGGTGGCTGAGATGTCCCCGGGCCCTCACCTGGAGGATGGTATTACTTTTCCTCTAAAAGGGCTGATCTGATGCTTCCTGAAACCTTATAGATTTTCTACTACTGTGCTGATTTCAGGTGTTCTGTCCATATCCTTGGGACCCTCATACATGTTAAACCAAGGGTCTTGCATTTGGTTCAGCTGGTGGTAACCTAGTAATATTTATACAGCACTTGCTCTATAACAGGCACTGTTTTAAATCCTTTACATGCACCAGCTCAGTCCTTACAACAACACTAGGAGGCTATGAGGTAGGAACTCTTACTCTTATATTACAGATGAGGAAAAGTTCAATTTGCCCAAGGTGACATCTAGAGCTAGTAAGTGGTAGAGCTGGAATCTGAGTCTAGGGACCTAGCTCGAGTGTTCTGGTTCTTGAACTCCATGCTATGCTACCTCTTACTCCACAGATGAGGTCAGGGTACGAAGAGCCATCAGCTCTACACTAATATGAAGGAGGAAGCACACTTTGGACTGGGGCCGAAGAGTGCTCACCTGTGCCAAACTTGACAATGTTGATCTTTTGCTTCCTATCCATCAAGGACAGAGCATATAAGGCAATTTGCTTGGCTTGCAAGAATGTTGCACCCTCCATGGAATTGGAGCAATCGAGACAAATAATCACTTCACTGTTCTCGGCTAGGTCAGAGAGATATCGAGATTGGGTTGAAAAACAAGCATGCAGGCCTAAAAAAAGAAAAAAGGTGCTGGGTTGATGTTTATCATAACTTAACCTGGTCTGGCTTGTTAATATTGGTATAGGCGTGCCTCTTCTGAGATACTGCTGGTTCAGTTCCAGACCACCACAGTAAAGCAGCTATTGCAAAAAAAGTGAGTTAAATAAATTTTTTGGATTCCCAGAACACATAAAAGTTATGTTTACACTATACTGTAGTCTATTACATGTGCGATAGCATTTTATCTAAAAAAATGTACATACCTCAATTAAAAAATGCCTTGCTGCTAAAAAATGCTAATCATCACCCGAGCTTTCAGTAAGTCATAATGTTTTTGCTGGTGAGGGGGGGGTCCCACCTTGAGGCTGACGGCTGCTGCCTGATCAGGGTGGTGGTTGCTGAAGGCTGGGGTGGCTGCGGCAGTTTCTTAAAATAAGACAACACTAAAGTTTGCCACATCAATTGACTCTTCCTTTCACAAACAATTTCTCTGTAGCGTGTGATGCTGTTTGATAGCGTTTCACCCACAGTAGAGCTTCTTTCAAAATTGAAGTCGTTCCTCTCAAACCCTGCTGTTGCTTTGTCAAGTAAGTCTATGTAACAGTCTTTAGAACCCTTTGCTGTTATTTCAACAGTCTTCAACAGAATTACCAAAATGTGACACAGAGACATGAGGTGAGAAAATGCCATTGGAAAAACGGCACCAAAGGACTTGCCACAGACTTTCAATTTGTAAAAAACATAGTACCTGTAAAGCATGATACAACATAGCACAATAAAACAAGTATGCTTATACTACTTTATGTGCCAAAAGACAACAAAATTTCAATCCAAAACCTACCCACACAATCTTTCTAAATGATGGACATGTAACTGGGCTAAAGTAACAGAGAATAAAGAGTGGCCCACTAAAAACTGATGAAACCCCCCTAGGCTCAGGCACATGCTTCTCTCTAGATCTCAGACTCTAATGGGAATGTGTCACTTGCCAGTGTGTTCCAGATATTGGCCTATAGTTTTCTTATAGTATCCTACAATTTGCCTGAATTTGTTTATTAGTTCTAACAGTTTTTTAGTGGAGTCTTTAGGGTTTTCTATATATGAGATCATGTTATCTGCAAACCGAGATGATTTCACTTTTTCCTTTCCATTTGCATGCCTTTCATTTCTTTTTCTTGCCTAATTGTTTTAGCTAGGACTTCCAGTACTACAGTGAATAGGAATGGTGAGAGTGGGCACTCTTACTTCTGATTTTAGAGAAAAAGCTCTATTTTTCACCATTGAGTATGATGTTAGCTGTGGGTTTGTCATATATGGCCTTTATTATGCTGAGGCATGTTCCCTTTCTACTCAGTTTGTTCAGAGCTTTCATCATGAAAGGGTGTTGAATTTTTCAAACAGTTCTTCTGCATCTATTGACAGGATATTTTATTTTATTTTTTCCTGATGTATACTTGACACACAATGTTATATTACTTTCCTGTGTACAGTACGGCAATTTGACAAGTTTATTTGTTATGCTGTGCTCACCACAAGTATAGCTACCATCTGTCACCACACGCTATTACAATAGAATTGACTATACTCTCTATGCTGTACCTTTTATTCCCATGGCTCATTCATTCCACAACTAGAAGCTTGTGTTTCTCTAGCATTCTTTCACTTTAAGAACTCCCTTTACCATTTCTCATAAGGCAGGACCAGTGGTGATGAATTCCCTTAGTTTTTGTTTGGGAATGTATCTCTCCTTCATTTCTGAAGGGCAGTTTTGCTGGGTTTATGCTATATTGTGATTTATAAGAAATACGTATTTGGTGTTTGCCCACTGTTCCTGGCTTACATCTCCCCAAACCCTTAGAATTTCCTAAGTGATGAGAGTGATAAAGGTGTCTTTTGTTATGTTAATGAGGCAAGTTTTGGATGCCGCCTAAGAAGGGGGGCTGGTTGCCAGGAGAATCAACCATGTGACCAGAGACTTAGAACTTTCAGTTCTGCCCCCAGACTTCTGGAAGGGGAGTGGGGCTGGAGACTGAATCAATTGCCAATGGCCAATGATTTTAATCAATCATGCTGGTGTAATGAAGTCACCATAAAAACCCAAAAGCATGGGCTTCGGAGAGCTTCCACATTGGGGAACACATGGAGATGTGGAAGAGTGATGTGCCTGAAGAGGGAATGGAAGCTCTGCACCCTTTCCTCCGACTTTGCCCTATGTATCTCTTCCATCTGGCTATGCCTGAGTTATATGCTTTTGTAATAAACTGGTTCTAGTAAGTAAAATGTTTCTCTGAGTTCTGTGAGCTGCTCTAGCAAGTTAATCAAAACTGAGGAAGGGATTGTGGGAATCTCTGATTTATAGCTAGTTGGTCAGAAGTAAGGTAACATCCTGGACTTACATGGTGGTATGTGGGGAAACCCCCCTCTTCCCCTTGGAATTGCGTCCAGGAACCCAAAAGAGTAGTATTCTTGGTTGGCAGTTTTTCCTTTCAGCACCTTGAATACATCATCCCACTCCCTCCTGACCTCATGGTTTCTGCAGAAAAGTCTGCTGATAGCCCTATGGGGGGTTCCCTTATATGTGATGAGCCATTCTTCTCTTGCTGCTTTCAAAATTCTCTCCTTGTCCTTGATTTTTAAAGTTTGGATTATAATGTGTTTTGGAGTAATCATCTTTCAACTGATCTTGCTTGGGGTCCTTTGAACTGCCTGCACCTGGATGTCCATCTTTCTCAAGATTTTGGAAAATTTTAGATATTCTTTCTTTCTTTTTTTTTTTTAAGATTTTATTTATTTATTTGACAGAGAGAGAGATAGTGAGAGAGGAAACTCAAGCAGGGGGAATGGGAGAAGGAGAAGCAGGCTCCCTGCCAAGCAGGGAGCCTGATGCGGGGCTCAATCCCAGGACCCTGGGATCATGACCCGAGCCAAAGGCAGATGCTTAACAACTAAGCCACCCAGGCACCCCTAGAAATTATTTCTTTAAATAATCTTTCTGCCCTTTTCTCTCCTTTCCTGGGATGCCTGTCATACAAATGTTCATTTGCTTGATGGTGCTCCATAATTCATGTAGGCTTTCTTCACTCTTTTTCATTCTTTTTCTTTTTGTTCCTCTAACTTCAAATGTCTGTCTTAATTCTTTCTTCTGCATGATCAAGTCAGTTGTTGAAGCTCTGTCTTGAATTTTTCAGTCTGTCATTGTATTCTTCAGCTCCAGACTTTGTTTGGTTCTGTTTTATGATTTGTATTTCTTTATTAAACTTCTCATTTTGTTCATGTGTTGTTCTCTTAATTTCATTTAGTTGTTTTTCCATGTTCTCTTATATTATATTGGGTTTCCTTAAGATGATTATTTTGAATTGTCAGGCAAATCATAGATCTCCATTTCTTTGGGGTCAGTTACAGGAGCTTTATTAGTTTCCTTTGGTGGTGTAATGTTTGCCTAATTCTTCATGATCCACATAAACCTTGCATTGGTATCTGTGCACCTGAAGGAGCAAACACAGACTAATTTTTACAGACTAGTGTGGCAGGCTCCCTGGCTGATGGGATTACCTCTGGAATCATAGTTGTGCAGGATTGAAGTCAATTTCAAGACTGTTGTTGGGTCTATGGTGTGGTCTGCAGTTGACATTCTTGTTACCAGGGGTCAGACAGGTGTGGATCATGTCTGGTCCCTGGGTGGCTGGGACTGCTTCAGTACCTTGTTCAGTAGGGTAGCCTGGGACAAGATGCCACTTCACAATCCACAGTTCCTCAGTCAGCAGACCTATTACCAGGTGTGTGGATGGGTGCAGCTTCCACTAGGTCCCTGAGAAGGCTCCTGCCTAGTTGATGGATGAGTCCCTGGGAGGGCAAGATTGACCCTGGACTACAGGTTGAGAGGAGCTGGAACTAAGCTGCAGAACTGTTTCAGGTTTCACAGCCACAACTGAGATCTGCAGACCTGGCTCTAAATGTGCAGATGATGATGTCTCCCATGAGGTCTCCGGGTAGGTTGAGTGGTCTCTGATCATGGCTGGAGGGGCTGAAGCAGAATATAGGACCCTTTCTGGAGCTCCCAAGGTGCAGACATGAGTATCCAACAGGTCCTATGCCAATGGGACTGCTCGTGGACTGCAGCTAGGAGGGGGCTAGAGCTGAGAATAGGGCCCTTTCAGAATCTTCAGGGTTGTAGATGGAAGTGTCTCCTGCTGGGTCCCTGGAATCACGGGTCTGCTTATAGACTATGACTGTTAGGAGGCTGGAGCCAAGTAGAGGGTGCTTTCAGGATATCTGGGGGCACAGATGGTGTCTGCAGCCAGGACCATGGTCAGCAAGTCAGCTGCCTGGGGATAAACCTGCCTTCTCAAAATGGTTCTCTTTAGTCTTGGGCTGCACTGGGGTTTCAAAATCTCCTAACTGGACCCCAAAATTCCCACACGGCACTTTGCCTGTGGATAGATGTCATATAATTGTTATTGGGGGAGGATACATGTAAAGGACATCTTGTTTGGCCATCTTGCTGATGTCACTCTCAATTTTTATTCTAATATGAAGAGATTCCTCATCATAGACACACAAATTGTCTTATGGCCATAAATAATTTTGTATCTACTTTTACAGTATTAATATTTTAAAACTATAAAAATATACAGACTAACCAGTGTAATGTCTGAAGGCATATTTTGGTTTTGGTGGGGATTAAGGTAGAAACTACAGTCATAGAGAAACATGCCACATGAGGGACTTGGTTGAAACCTCATAAGTTTGTCATGCCTGACTTCATAAGTATTTTTAGTTGTAAAATCTTGGGGTGGTGAGAGCTCATTTTGTAATGCTAGTTTTTCAGAACTATCAGTAATTTCCAAATTTAATTAATCTATTCTGAAATATTTTTTCAATAGTGTCTCCCATTTTTTTTTTTAAGATTTTATTTATTTGAGAGAGAGAGAATGAGAGACAGAGAGCACGAGAGGGAAGAGGGCAGAGGGAGAAGCAGACCCCCCGCTGAGCAGGGAGCCCGATGCGGGACTCGATCCCGGGACTCCAGGATCATGACCTGAGCCGAAGGCAGTCGCTTAACCAACTGAGCCACCCAGGCGCCCAGTGTCTCCCATTTTTAAGTAAGAAGAACTATACCTCACTTTCTTTTTCTGGATGTCTTTCAACCCACATTCTTGGGGGATATGCGTCAGACAAACCAACGTGAAGAGAGAATCCATCACTGTCTAAGGAGCTATCTTCCATGGTGCTAATTACAGCTTTGCAGTCTGTGCGCTACAAAACAAACAACAATGACAACATAGTAAATAATGGAATAATGCCATATGATCGATTTGCAGTTACCTGTCAGTGGCAAACCCTTGCATAATTTATCTAACTCCATCAAGAATCAACAAGGTAGTAATAAATTCAAAATTATGAAATTTTTAGAAGTCATGACCATTATCATATCAGTTACCCTCCTGAAATGCTAAGGTTGATGTACACAGACCAATTGAGAAGTCTGGGACAGTTTCAAATCCTGGATCCAAAGATTATAGATCTATGTATTCAGGTAGAACTATCTGGATATAGCAGTAAGTACACTAGAACTTAGTGTAGTAAAAATAGTAAAATAGTAAAAATAGAAAATAGTAAAAATAGAAAATTCAATAGAAATCTTATAATTATGCCTTATTTTTAAATTAAGTTTTCATAAATATAAAATAACTTTTGAAAATGTGGATGATAAGCTTTAAAACAATAAAGGCAATATGATAGATTGTAAAATGGCCATAAAGTCTTTCCATCCCTGTGTGCTTGCCCCTTTTGCAATGTGACTTTGCATCTCTTCCCGTCAGGAGGTAGCACCTATTTCTCTGCCCTTGAACCCAAAGTTGGCCAATGTGACTTGCTTTGGTCAATCGGATATTGGCAGATGTGATGCAAGAGGCTTGGAAAACGTTGGTGCAATGGGGCTTGCCTTCCTCTGTTGCTACTGAGAACTTTTCCACTAACTATATGAATGAACCTGAGCTAACCTGCTGGATGAAGAGAGACATGGTTATCACACCAACTGACACCAGGCCAACTGCCAGGTATTAGAATAAGCCCATTCTAGACCATCCTGTCCCAGTCAAGCCAGTGCAGGCCATTAGAACTGCCCAGCCAATTCACAAAACTGTGTGAAATAACAAATGTTGTTGTTTTAAACCATAAGGTTTCAAGATTATTTGTTACACAGCAGAAGCTATCTGATGCAGAGGGTCTCCTGTTCAGGATGGACTAAATGTATGTGTTTACCTCCATTCCTAGCAAAATCCTAAAATTCTCTACCATAAAAAGGAACCAATTAAAGGGTATAAGCCCATAAAGATATTGAGAATAGGATCAAAGACAACAGCAGTTGAGAGATGTCAACAAATTTTAAAAAGATGGAAAGTTGATAGAGGCATGACAAGTGACTCAGCTGGAGTGGAGGAAGCTACTACCTGGGTCTGGTGGGGGACTACAGCAACCCAGTAAGGCTCATACCCTGGGGGTACTGCAGAACATAGTGGTTGACTTAAGGCAGGCCCCGTCTCTGCCAAAGTAGCCAAGCAGCTAGCACCAACAGTTAGCACCCTGTTCTCTCATTAAAGGAAACTAAAGATTCATTTCTTAGAGAAATTCAAGCAAATAGCATCCACACTGGGGAATCTGAGGCATAAAAAAGCATAGGAATATAGGGCTGCAAACTGGGGAATGAAGTCAAAGGTGGCATCCTAACGTGTGGGCCTCTCAATCACTCTCCCCAGTCATACTTTATGAATAACTAGAGGTGTTCTGAATGACCACAGAAGGGCTAAACCACCACCATGAGACTCACCACCAAACAGCCAGCCAGCTGCCTGGGCCTCTAGGGCAGGGTCTTTGGTCCACTCGCTTCACCCACCTCAGAGCATCTAACTAGCTTTCTTGTGTTTCAGTTAGAGATGAACACAGAGAGGTCACCCAGGCATTTGAGGAAAAGCCTCTAACACAAAATATAGAGACTGAAAAAAGAAAAAGCCAGAAGAAGAAAAAAGGAACTCAAAGAAAAAAGGCAGAACACAGGGAAGAGAAGAAAAAATATATCATGTTTTCAGAGAGACAAGAAAGAGAAGATAATGCACCCATGAAACACACAAAGATGCTATAAAAAAGGAATACTTACAGAACAAAAAAGAGTTTTTACAAATTAAAAAATGAGAACTAAAACACAAATTTCAGTAGAATGGAATTTAAAATTGAAAATATCACCCAGAAAGTAGAACAAGGAAACAATACAATGGTCAACAGGAGAGAAAAAGAGAGAAAACAAGAGGCTCAATCCAGGGGACACCTGATTGAAAGGCAATGCAAAAGATGAAGGAAAGAGGAACAATTTATTTTTAAAAAATATTAAAAAATTTCCCAGCACAATGAATGAATATTTTTTTTTTTAAGATTTTATTTATTTATTTGACAGAGAGAGACAAGCGACAGAGGGAATACAAGCAGGGGGAGTGGGAGAGGGAGAAGCAGGCCTTCTGCTGAGCAGGGAACCCAATGCAGGGCTCAATCCCAGGACCCCAAGATCATGACTCGAGCCGAAGGCAGACACTTAATGACTGAGCCACCCAGGCACCCCTAAATATCATATTCTTATGAAATTTCAGAATACCAGGGATAAAGAGATCTGAAATTCTTTTTTTTTTTTTTAAAGATTTTATTTATTTATTTGACAGAGAGAGACATAGTGAGAGAGGGAACACAAGCAGGAGGAGTGCGAGAGGGAGAAGCAGGCTTCCCGCAGAGCAGGGAGCCTGATGCGGAACTCGATCCCAGGACCCTGGGATCATGACCTGAGCCGAAGGCACCCCCTTAACGACTGAGCCACCCAGGCACCCCAAGAGATCTGAAATTCTTGAAGAATTTAAAACAAAACAAAACAAAACAGACTACATACAAAGAATGGGGGATAAGAATAGCAATTAACTTCTCAAAAGTAACACTGGAAGCTAGAAGATAATGTTTTTGATATTCTGAGGAAGATAACTTTCAACCCAGGATTAAACACCTCAGCAAATGATCAGCATTCACACATGGAATAAGGATAGCTCCAGACATTGCTGCCCACAAGCTCAGGAAATTAATGGAAGCTGTGCTCTGCCAAATGGAGGGGAAAAAAACAAGAAAAAGGATAAAGAGGAAAAGCCCTACAAAGGAAGATTATAAAGAAAGGCCCTGGGACAACAGCTGTCGTGTGGTAATGAAGCTGCACTGGAGTGGAGAGAGAGAAGGAAGGAAGGTCTCAGGGGAAAAACATTATCTGAATTATTGGGAGCATTCAACAGTGACCAATAGTATTCTAAAGAGTTTTAAGCTATGTCTGAGTGAGGTTAGTGGAGATATAAGAGAATTAAATTTTCATCTACCACAACGGGAAATCAAAAAATAATTTTGAATCACATGAATCAAGAACAAGCAGTAAAAAAACCCTGAGCATTTACAACTTTGGAGGCCACCAGAAAGGAGGTAAAATATTTAAAGTGGTTCACTGTCTCTAGAGGCTGGTCTGGATGAGGCAGGGCAGAACCAGGCTGCTGCTTCTTGTGAGAAGCCGTTGTTAGCATTATTTTCTTCTTCTTCTTTTTTAAGATTTTATTTTTTAAGTAATCTCTACACCGAATGTGGGGCTCAAACTCACAACCCCGAGGTCAAGAGTTGCATGTTCCACCAACTGAACCAGCCAGGCACCCCTGTTGTTAGCATTATTTTTTAACTTTTTAAACCACCTGCATGTATTGCCTTGACAAAATAAAACTAATGCTAAAATAAAAGCTCCTAAAAAATAAAACAAAGATTTGCTAACCTTTTGTCTCAGTTTATGTGTATCACTAGAAATGGATTCAATCTCATATGGTATCTCAATGGACATACTCAAAGAGAAGCTACCAAAAAAGAAGAAAAAGTTGTCTATGATCTTAAATATTAAACAAATACTTATTGTCATTTTATATAATTTTAAGTAAAATTTGAAACCATAAAACTAATGTCCACTGGATGTCTGAAGAGGTTTTATATTTTTGGTACTAACCTTTGTTTTGTTCCTATTTTCTTTATATAAATCTTCTCTACTGTATCCTGTTAAAAGAAAAATATATATGTATAACTAAGTATCTACTAAGTTTCACAATGAGAACTCTAAGCTGAATGTAATGTTACCAAGAGCACAATCTACAGGAGCAACAAGACAGCTGGTCTCACTTCTGAGTAGTGAGACACAGAACATTTGCTCATGGAATGACAGTTAACTTCTAAAATGTAACTGATATCAGGGATAATTTATGACCAATTTAACAGAGGTTTTGAACTATATTTCTATATGTGGGTATACACATACACATATACATCATACCTCTATATGCATATACACACACACAATTTATATAAGTATGTACAAAAGGGAAACAAAGCGTTAACCAGTAGCTTTGGGCTACTATCTCTGGCAATGGAATTAAGGATTGTTTAAATTTTCCTCTTTGATTTATTTGCACTCTTTATGCTTATCTAAATTCTTCATAATGAACATGTAATACAGACACAAAAATTTTTTAAGTGACTGAACAGAATAAAAATATTACACCTATTGAGCCTAACTGTGTCTTTATTCTTTTCATTTTACAAACATTACATGTATCTAAACGCAGAAATGTCAGTAAAATTGACTTCATGCCAGAAAGATTAGATTTTTTTCATGTATTATTATTATTTTCTTTTTTAGAGAGGGAGAGAGACAGAAGTGGGAGAGGAGGGGAAGAGGGAGAGAGAGAATCTTAAGCAGGCTCCACGCCCAGCATGGAGCCCAACTCAGGGTTTGATCTCACAACCCTGAGAACATGGACCTGGGCCGAAATCAAGAGTCAGATGCTTAACCAATGGGCCACCCAGGTGCCCCTGGAAAGATTAGATTATTTTAGATATTTTTAAATTCCCTATCAATAAACCACTAAAAAAAAACTTCTTTAAATCTTTCTAAGCATACAAACCTGAATGTTTTCATTCAAAACTTTGTCCTGTTGCCAGGGTGCCACGGTGGCGGGCATGAAGAAGACAGCCCTGCTGCCTTGGATGCTGAGTTCCGTGATGTAGGTAATTTTGATAAGGACCTTAGCCTTAGGGGGTAGATTTCCAACACTAACAGTAAAAACATCCTGAAACAGAAACACATTACTCAACTTTCTACTCAAAAGTGCATCCATTCTATGCTAGTTAATCCCTATTACATGAGCCACTTAAATTACAGTCTGCCAGACTCTTCCTCATAAAATGAGCATAGAATCTACAAGACAAATGGGCATTGGCAGCGCTAAAGGAGAACACTGCTTCCGGTCCCCAGGGGTAGGGCTGGCGTGACATCTACAGGGGGCAGAAGGAAAGGAGGCCCTTTGGGAGCAGGACCTTGCCCTGACTGGGGAGCGTCACCTCTGTCCCCTACACCAGAGGCCCTGCCTGCAGGACTCTGCTGCACAGACAGCCTCCATATAGCCCCTTCTTGAAGAACCTGTAGCCTCTCTGACCTCCACAGCACTTGGCGGCAATCCTCTCAGCAGCCGTAGAGCTAGAGCAGTTTTCACTAACCTGGGCCTCACTTTATCCCTTTATCCTGTAGTTTATTCATCATTTTATTGTATTTTATTTTATTTTATTTTATTTTTTAAAGATTTTATTTATTTTTTTGACAGAGAGAGACATAGCAAGAGCAGGAACACAAGCAGGGGGAGTGGGAGAGGGAGAAGCAGGCTTCCCGCTGAGCAGGGAGCCCGATGTGGGGCTCAATCCCAGGACCCTGGGATCATGACCTGAGCCGAAGGCAGACGCTTAACGACTGAGCCACCCAGGTGCCCCATCATTTTATTTTTTAGGAAATGTATTTCATTTTATTTTAAAGGGGTATTATAATCACTGCATACGAAGATAAGCTCATGACTGGCTAGGGCAGAAAAAAGGGAGGCTAGATCTATTTTTTCTGATACCTACACAGAGAAACTCTTAACACCCCAAGCATATCTTCCAGTCCACTTGGCTGCACTGCCATGAAACTTACTATGTTTAGGAGCATATAATACTAATGATTAATATAAATTTTAGGGGTAAATGATTACTTTTGATATCAAGGATATCCATTTGCCAGGATATCCATTTGCAAGAATATCCAATAAAGAAATGGATTCCAGTGAAGGGATAAACAATGAAGAGATGATTATTTGAACAGTTCATAGTGCTTGTCCTTAAAAGAAGTGCATAAAAGCCTGGGTCTCATTTGAGAGACTGCCACATAATAGTGTGGGGTTTCTGTGTAGGGTATAGATGCAAGATGTCACTGCTGTTACAAGCCGGATAATCTACAAAACTGTAACTTGTCTTGACCTGCCAGGAGGCTGAGTTTCAAGGCAGCCGAGTGAACTCAATTACAAAGAGTGACAAGCCCCTCTGAGGACGATGAGGCACTGGAACTGTGGGGATTCCCCTAAGGGCTCCCAGTAGGCTAGCATCTTGGTGCATATGGGGGGAACTCATGTAGGTGAGGAGCGTGAGGAGCACCATTCAGTGCAAGACACATTTCTTCCAATTTTGTCCTCCTTTCTGATATAATGAGTTTTGAAATCTTAGGTGTCCCTACATAATATTCAATCACAAATCATTTTCACCTCAGTCCCTTGGATGTCTAAAGCCACTTTGCTAGTCTTCTGATAGTTGGGAACATCATATATATAATATATATAGCATATGTACATTATATATATTATAAACGATAACATAATATGTAATACAGTAATATACATTATGTTTTATATATACACACGTATAATGTTGCCAAGTATAGAAGAATATCATTTTACATGTATATATATATGTATATATGTGTATGTGTGTGCATATATATATAAAATGTTCCCAACTATTAGCAAATAGAGAATATATAATTTATATATTAAACACATAACACATATGTAATAATACATAATATGTATATAATACATTATATAATTATATTATTAATATAATATATTTTAGAGTGAGGACATCATAGTCACTGGATGGCAAAATACATTCTGGGAGACCCAAAGGCTCTGGTTAGCAATGGTTCTGACCAGACTTTATCCATAGGTAATATCCTTTGTGAAGACTGTTTTCCTGTGGATCATTTTCCTAGGGAAATATATTAGCATCAAGGAGGAAATATGCCGACCATTTCATTTATGACAATAACCCCACACTGTTAAGCGTCAGCCTATTAAATGAACCCCAGGCTTTTATATATACACTTTCGCCAGGGGTAGCATTATTACCTGTTTAACAATGACCTCTTCCTTGCTTATTTCCATTCTGCAAATTGTTATCTTAGATGTCAAAAGCAATCATTTATCCTTTAACTCTATATTAATCTTGAGTAACTCCCCCCACCCAACATCAAATTTTCACGATGCTATGGCAATGTGCCATCCTCAGAGGTAATATCTGAAGCACGTGGCCCTGTCCTCAAAAACAACTAAATATCTACACTGGAGATAATGATTACAAACTGCATGCAATTTGGTATCTGCCAAAGGCATATTTAAAGCATCTTATATTTAAGAAAAGAAATCTAGTGGACATGATAGCTGTTCCTTCTTTCAAATTCTCCATATTTTATCCCTAGGAAAGCAATTAATCAGAAAGAAAAGAATCTGGACCTATCTCAGGACCCTGTAGAAATGTCTTCCTGGGATATGACTTGGTGAAAACTGGATAAATTGCTAGATAAGCTTAGTCCTAGGAAAAATGTATATACAGTGAACCCTTGAATGAAGGTGCTGACCCCTGTGCAGCCAAAAATCCATTTATAACTTTTGAGTCCCTAAAAATTTAACTAGTAATAGCCTACTATTGACCGAAAGCCTTACTGATAACATAAACCGTCAATTACCACACATTTTGTATGTTATATGTTATATACTAAAATCTTACAATGAAGTAAGCAGGAGAAAAGAAAACCATAAGGAAGACAAAATACATTTACAGTGCCATACTGTATTTAACGAAAAAAATCCGCCTACCAGTGTAGATCCAAAGTTCAAAACTGTGTTGCTCAAGGGCCAACTGTATATTACACTCTTTTATCAGAAGATGAAGATTATGTACCCCCAAATGTTTTCTTTTTGTTGTCACTTCTGGGAAACTCAGTTCCCAAGGACAGAAATAGGTCTTCTTATTTGTTTGGCAATACCGACACTGTTTCCTCCTACCTTTAGGTAAGTCAAACGGTTCTGACCAGCTGGACCTTCCCTTGCTAACAACAAGTTAAACTCTAGGCCTAAAATAGCAGAAATTATCCCAGCTTCTACTATGGACTTCATGTTTCAAGTCATATTCCAACTCTTTCTCCCTTCTGGTAAGTATGCTTGACTAATGGATAAATCAAGCCATTCGGGTGCATCCTGATCCATCAAGTACGCGCCATGGCCTTGACTGATGGCTTCTCGGTATTCATGGTGGGCTGCTTCCTTCTCTTTAACCTGGAAAAGATTATTTTTATACCAGTCATAATATGACTAATGATTTCAGACTTTAACAAGAAAAACTTCATCAATGTTTATTAAAACCTAGGCAGAACCAGAAAACTAAAAGCCTAAGGTGAATGGAAACTTACATAAAGTGATCATTAAAATATACCTATCTGGTAAGAATTTGAATCAGAAAAGGTCAACTAAAGTGAAATCTCTTTAATTAGTTGGGACCAAAATATTTCAGAGTCAACAGTGAAAAAAAAAAGTTTGATTGGGACTTTATGTTGAACAAAAATAATAAAGTTTATACTACATTTAACAAAATACGAGTTATTATTGCAACTGTGGGCTAATCCTTAGAATAAACAAAGACTGTATCACTTATTATTTCTTTTGGTACAACTTTTCTTAAAAAGTTAACAATGGCGACTGTCGCATCAATTTGACTGTTACAGCAGGATGCAGAGGATCAGTTTTTTGCAAAACTATATAAAGGCTTTACCAATTTTCCATTGTGCCTCTCTTAAAATTTTGATATTGAAATTGCTCTGTTTCGAAATGCTAGGCAAAGAATTTACAAGGCACTGACTGATGAACACTGGACAGGTAGGGACAGAAACCAATTAATCAGGGAGGGATGTTTAAATGGAAGCCAACTATGTTTAAATGCTTGGTTCTTCAAAGAGTATTTCTGTTTTATGATAAGGCTGCTATTCAACCTTATAGCTATGGGGACTCAGGTGAGGAAGATTTGGGTAAATGGGAAACTGACCTTGAATCCAAAGAGCAGTCACAGTGCATTTCCTCCCCTTACCTCTCCTACTATGTGCTTCCCATTGATGAACGCTTCAAAACCACACACAGCTGCTTTATCATCCAAAGGAAAAATATATCTTGCCTCAATGGGCACAGAACTTTGATTGGTGTATGTCTGAAAAACAGTGACCTGAAGAAGAAAAAAAAAATCCATATACTTTGATGAAACAATATGGAACAACATTTTCAGGAACAACTATTAATGAAAACTATTATGTATATTTTCTTTAAATTCCTTGAATTTTTATCATGTCTCTCAAATTCCCAACCCTGGCCTCAGGAGTTAGAGCATTCTATGATTGCAATGTAGAGTCCATGTCACATTATAAAGCGTACCAGCTGCAACTTTAGGTGATTCATACATCCTTGGCTGGAATAAAAGTCACTAGTATTACAATATTACAAACACTGGCTTAACAGAAGCAATGCAGCTTTCGTTAAGAAGACAAGATAGCCTCTTTATGTGTGGGTCTTGATCCCTCCTTGGTGTCACGTGGGCCCAGACATTACTCCAGAATAGTTCTTATATCTGGTCTGTTTTCAGGTCTTGACATTTCCCTCCTTTACCTCTCTGTACATAGCCCTCCACAGCTTTTTTCATCTATCCTCATCTCTTCCTGTCGACAACTCCTGAATCAACTCTTTTCCACTCCTACCTGCTGTCTCTATTCTTACCAGATTAATTTTACCAAATGGACTCTGTTTATCACATTACTCCCTTGCTTAAGAAAAGGCCAGTCTTTAAACAATTGCAAATTTTTTAAAAACCCTAGACATATAATAAACACTAACATTTTAAACATGTGGCAATAATAAGGAAAAAATATTTAGCAATTTGTCATCAATAATCTCTGGGAAAAGTGAAATGAAAAATAAAAGAATAAAGGAAACAAACTTATTCCATAATGCTGTCCACAACTGGATTTATGGTAAGCTGGGTTGCCCCTAGTGTATGTGCTGCACCAGAGAAAAATATTTTAAGGGGCATATATTTAAACAATGTGATTGTCCTCAAATCAACAGTCAGCACCCTCCAGGAGATCAAATCTTCACAGTTCTGCAAACAAAGGCCTCATTGGCTGGTGACAGCCACCCGCTTACCAGGCTCACCCTGGAACTGGAGGCTGGCTGTGGCCCAAAAGGATCCTATAGGATCCCAGGGTTTCTTGGGTGTCTGGGTGACTCTGACCCATCATAGAAGGTCAGAGAGCACCCAGCAGAGGAGCCATGTGGATTGCTGACCAGGAGGACATCACGCACGTTCCCTGTGCATAGAACTCTCTTCATTTCTCTCCTGGGTATCCAATTTTACCAAACCCTTCAAGGGCACGTATGCTTGACCTGTAAATGTTGGATAGGATCACTGTCTAACTGTCCTTTGGTTTGAGTTCATGTTTTTATCCTGCTCTGTGGATGTCCTGCCTGCATCTAGTTAGCAGGTCTGTTCCCAGGGGTCAGGTCTATGTCAGCTTCACTCTCTCTGTATATCCCATGATATGACTGGGCACTCAGAAAGCAAGAAATTTCGGTAATGATGACAGAAGTATTTTTACTAGGACTTAGAAGAGAAAATAATACACTGTACTAATTTTTGACATCTTAATTTTCCACCTTCAGATGAAACCACTATTTTAGTTTAGTTATTAAACTAAAAACACTAAACTCATTCCTAGAAGAGTCAAATATGTGAGCCACGAACATACAAGTCCCTGCCGCTGGGCCTCTGCTTGGATTCTCAATGACAATCTACAAGCCAGCTGTCTAATCACAAATTAGTGAAAAATTCACTGCTAAATCATGAGTTATTTATTTATTTATTTTTAAAGATTTTATTTATTTGACAGAGAGAGGCACAGCGAGAGAGGGGGAGTGGGAGAGGGAGTGGGAGAGGGAGAAGCAGGCTTCACGCGGGGCAGGAAGCCCGATGCGGGGGCTCGACCCCAGGACCCTGGGATCATGACCTGAGCCGAAGGCAGACGCTTAACAACTGAGCCACCCAGGGGCCCCATAAATCATGAGTTATTTTTTGGGCAAAGTTATCCATGGAAAAAGCTTCATCAGGTTTAAAATATCAAATGGTGCAAGTTGTCTAATCCAAAGTAATGTACAGAGGACGTATGGCTCTCCTTGTAACACACTCAGTTTTTTATCTGTTGCATGTGAAAAAAATGCCCTATGTCCTTTATATTCATTGTATTTAAGAGCCACATGCTGGCTGGCAGATATTATTATTTCCGTTCTACATTTGAGGAAACTGAGGCACGAAGAAGTTAAATAATTTCCCCAAGGAAGGAGCTAGAAAAGAATGAGCAAGGATTCAAAACTAAGCCTCCAAACTCCAAATTCTCTGCTTTCCACCATCTATCCCAGGTTGTACTACTGCATAGTGGTTAAAGAGGCTGGACTTGAGAATCAGAATGATCTGGGTTCAAATCTGTGCTTTATCATGTCATTCAGTGTCTCGGCGTATCAGCTTCCTCATCTAAACAATGGGCATAATCACAGCATTCACCTCATAGAGTTTTGGGGAGGATTAAATATAGCGTGTGAACAACTCAGTCCAGAGCCTGACTCATTGGAAGTGGTAACCACTGTGGTCACGCATCCTAATGGCTCCAAACAGATCAGCCTAGGTCAGAACACTTGCCATGAGTCCACATCAGGGTCTCCCAAGGCCTGTAAGGTCTCCCTGAGCTCTTTCGGGATACAGCTATGGATCAGAGTGGGCCCGGGAGGCAGCAATCAGACATATGCAAACTGGTACAGATATTATGGGTAGCATGCCCTGTCCCACCCACCATACCCCATTTCCCCAGTTTAAGGTGACCACTACAATTAATCTGATTTCCCTCTGAAGAGAGGGGAATATCACAATACTGGACTCAGATGTTCTAATTTTTCTAAGAGGCCTTTAGTGGGTCAGTGTAGTCCTCAGTGTTCAGGAACCAATGAGGAGGTCAAATCTTAGAAAACAGAGAGCCTTCCCAGTATACTGGCAGCCTGCCTGCACGTTTGCCCATGAACTCTCCTTTCTGTTCCATGACCGCAGCTGCACTAGCTGCATGCTTCTGGCTGAGGCCAAGCACTGCATTTGAGCATTAGCGCTCATCCTCCTCCCCCTACAGAACAGTGCATCTCCAGCAATTCCCCCCTGTGATACTGTGATTTATAATAAGAAACATATATTTTGGTCTTTGTACCTGTTTCTGGCACAGAGCTCCCCAAACCCTCAGAATTTCCTAAGTGATAAGAACAATGTAGGTGTCTTGGTGTTCATAACAGACCCCTTTCAACCACACCTGAGTTTATGTCAAAGAGGTGCCTTTTGAAAAATACCTAAGGATAGGGACTGGTTTCCAAGGGGATTATAGGGTTGGAACTGTCAGCCCCACCCTCGGACCTCAGGGGAGGGGAGAGAGGCTGGAGATTGAGTTCACTCACTGATGGTCAATGATTTATTAATCAATCATGCCTGTGTTAACCCAAAAAGACAGGCTTCAGACAGCTTCCAGGCTGGTGAACACGTGGAGATTCAGGGCAGTGGCATGCCTGGACCGGGCAGGGAAGCTCTGTGCCCCTTCCTACACACCTTGCCCTACATGTTTCTTCCAGCTGGCTATTCCTCGGTTGTATTCTTCTGTAATAACTATTAATGTCGTAAGTAAAATGTTTCCCTGAGTTTTGTGAGCCACTCTAGCAAATCAGTCTAACGCAAGGAAGGAGTCTTTGGAACCTCTGATCTACAGCCGGTCAGCCTTCTAAAGGCTTTCATTTCACTCAGAAATGAGTGAATCCATTCACTCAGTACGGCCTGTGTCCTGATGTGAGCTGGACACCACCTCTTTAATCCAATCTCCTGCCATGCTTTCCCATTCTACTCTGCTGTAGCCACAGTGGCCTCCTTGATGTCCCTGACCATATCAGGCTTGCTCCCACCACAGGGTCTTTGCACATGCTGTTTTCGTTTTCGCCACCTGGAATGAGCGACCCCTAGATGTCCACACGGTTTAGTCTCCTCTAGGATACATTTTATTTATTTATCATGTGTTTTGCCTAGTCCCCCAGTAAAATGTATGCTCTACAGGGCAGTTTTTCTTTTGTTCATCGCTGTATGCCTAGACCTAGAACAGTCCCTGGTATGTAGTACGTGCTCAATGAATTGGAAATGCATGTTTTGTTTAATTCATGCGACTATAATCAAATTGTTATTTATCTGTTTAAAGTATCATAAAACCACAAAGAACATACCTGGGCTACGAAGTCTATTATTTTTCCCTTGATGTGAACATCCTCAAGAGGAACTGAATTGCCAGAGACATCCTGCAGGCCAGACTTGATGTTGCTGAAAGGTTTGGCATCTGCTAACTGATAATCTCACATTAAAAATGATAATGTTAGCTTTAAAAACCATCCCTGCACTGTCTGCTTCTGTTACCTTAATCGTTGTTCCTTCCCCTTCCCTTCATACATTATATTTTAGGAAAAACAGACAAGCGGCATCTTATGATTTTCAATAGCCAATGCTGTAAAGTAAGTGAACCCACATGAGAAAAATGGGGGCAGCCTTCATAAGAGACATTCTGCCTTTTTAATCTAGAGACTCTGAGGACTCATCCTGAAAATGTAGAGTCACTCAATTACTTGAAAGACATACATTTAAAAACACACAAGTACACAAAAGTCTTTAAGAATTTATAAGTGTAGTTTATGCATGAATCTAGGTATCTCCATTCCCTGGCCTGTAATTTTGATTGGTCAGTCACTATTACTTATTGTGCCACAAAAGCGTGTCGGACCAATATGAGACTCCTTAGACTTTCAATCCAAGGAACACTGGATCAAACTTCTAATACAGCATATGAGAAAAATGTTCCCCTTCTATACCAGGTGCTACAAAAATACACATATAATTAGAAATGTAAATATATACTCTCTTGCCAGACATTTCATTTAATGCTCCCAGAGGAAAAACAGGAGTCATTTTCTTATATGTGAAGTCATACATTTCTGACAAAAAATAATCTGATCACAGTTAAAAATGTTAATGAGTTCTTACAATGCTATTAATAAATATTATAATAGTTTGGGCTTATGATTTTCTGAGAAGCTATCATCCTCTCATATATTTCTACTACTAATATATAAGCTGCATATTACAGTTTTGGGAGTACCTTCGCTTAATGCAGATATTGATCTCATTTGCAATACAGAGAAACTGAGGCCCAAAAAGCTTATGCAGTTTGTTTCATATTGCACAGCCTAGTAAGTGGCAAGTTGATACTTGAACCTGAGCTTCCTGATTCTAAAGCTGTGTCTTCTGTCCACTTCACCAACCCCCATTACACTTTCTGTGCTTCGACATCTTAAATTGCTTCAGTGGGTTTTAGCATCGGCTGTCGGGAGGTGTACGAGCTCAACTTAGGCATATTAACGAAGTAATATGTGATTCTGAGATCACTTAAGCTCTCTTAAGTATCCTGGTTTTTACTTTTACAAAATAAAACAGGAAATGGAATATTTATATATGAAGTCATAGATACAGTTACTGAACATGAGCATAAATTCGTCTAAAAATAAAATGTTGGAGTTCTATAAATACCACATAAGACAGCATTCAAGAAAACTGTCTTACCTTCAACGTTTGAAAAATTTGAAAACTCAGGTCTGTATTCCTCTACTTCAGTAGTATTACAAAGATGAAAGTCCTTTATTTCATCTCCAGATATACAAAATTTAATAATATATTTCATTTTAATCTGATTGGTTTTATATACAACAAATTCATCATCCTAAAACCAACAGAAATGATTAGGTGGAGGGAAAAACCTTTATTGGCAAATGTTCTCATAAAAGCAGAACTGCAGGGGCACCTGAGTGGCTCAGTTGTTAAGCGTCTGCCTTCAGCTCAGGTCATGATCCCAGGGTCCTGGGATCGAGCCCCGTGTCGGGCTCCCTGCTCAGTGGGAGGCCTGCTTCTCCCTCTCCCGCTCCCCCTGCTTGTGTTCCCTCTCTCGCTGTCTCTCTCTGTCAAATAAATAAATAAATAAAATCTTAAAAAAAAAAAAAGCAGAATTGCAGGTTTGCTAATTTAGAAAATACTGAATTCAGGGAGTCACAGATATGCAATAATTACTTAAACTTAAGCATATTCAATAAAAACAGGAGCCTCTCTGCCTGTTTCTTGAAACAAATACCTCGAAGTCTGTGGTGACAGTGGCCGTTGCTCGCACCCCATGGACACTGTTGTAACCTGGTGGTGCTTCCGACAAGGAGAAGTCTTTTTTGTTCAAGTCCATGCACTTCCCGAGGGCTACATCACAGACGACCAAGAGCCTCGTGCCATCTGTCTCTCCTGCGTGGGAGTACTTAATACTTGTGCTGCATTGGGAAAGGAAGAAAGCACGTGTTTGTAATTCATGGTCATGGCAACAATATTTTATTATCCATTATCCATCTCTATATGTGAAACACTGTCTAAACGACTGTACTGGTAGAATGTTCCAAATTTTACTGCTATTGAAATATCTCTGAAGATTCAATTTAGAACTTTATTGTTCACTTATTTGTTTAAAACTTTAATGTGAAAAGTACATATGTTGCCTTCTGTTGTGTTAGGCAGTGCTCAAAGTACTTTCTTCCAGGGATGGATGAATTCCACCGTTTCCCCAAATCTTTATTAATTACTAAAACACATATTTTGGTATGGTAAACACCAAAGTGATGAAAGAGAAGGAAAATTCCCCACTTTTTTAATTAAGCAAATAGATTACTCCTCTGCACTGAAGCTCAGAGAGAACATGAAATACCAGGTAAATAAGAACTGCTCAAAGGGAAAGATGGGCACTGTATTTCTCACAAAGGCTTCTGAATCCAAATGGAGAAGCAAAAATTTCAAATGACATCTAAGTGAGAGATTTTGTTTTGACTTTCTTCAGGGCTCAGCAGCTTTAAAAAAGCAACTTTTGCAATTAAGGAGCATAGGCTAGGACACCTTCGGGAGCAACATTTTTGGGACAGACCTCTATTTTTCCAAATCAAGACCCAAATGTAAAAGTGTTTGTTCTATCCCCTCTAAGACTTGCCCCCTTTTATTTATAAAAAATATTTTATTTTTAATTTTAATTTTTTTATTATGTTGTTAATCACCATACATTACATCATTAGTTTTTGATGTAGTGTTCCATGATTCATTGTTTGCGTATAACACCCAGTGCTCCATGCAGTACGTGCCGTCTTTATTACCCATCACAAGGCTAACCCATCCCCCTACCTTCCTCCCCTCTAGAACCCTCAGTTTGTTTCTCAGAGTCCACAGGCTCTCATGGTTGTTTCAGAGGTACAGGTCTGTGATTCAACAGTCTTACACATATGATATATGTCTTTCTCTGATTGACTTATTTTGCTCAGCATAATACCCTCCAGTTCCAACCATGTCGTTGCAAATGGCAAGATTTCATTCCTTTTGATGGCTGCATAATATTCCATTGTATATACATACCACATCTTCTTTATCCATTCATCTGTCGATGGACATCTTGGTTCTTTCCATAGTTTGGCTATTGTGGACATTGCTGCTATAAACATCGGGGTGCACGTACCCCTTCAAATCCCTACATTTGTATCTTTGGGGTAAATACCCAGTAGTGCAATTGCTGGATCGTATGGTAGCTCTATTTTCAATTTTTTGAGGAACCTCCATACTGTTTTCCAGAGTGACTGCACCAGCTTGCATTCCCACCAACAGTGTAGGAGGGGTCTCCTTTCTCCGCATCCTCGCCAACATCTTTCGTTTCCTGACTTGTTAATTTTAGCCATTCTGACTGGTGTGAGGTTTTGATTTGGATTTCCCTGATGCCGAGTGATGCTGAGGACTTTCTCATGTGTCTGTTGGCCATTTGGATGTCTTCTTTGGAAAAATGTCTGTTCATGTCTTCTGCCCATTCTTGACTGGATCATTTGTTCTTTGGGTGTTGAGTTTAAGAAGTTCTTTATAGATTTTGGATACTAGCCCTTTATCTGATAGGTCATTTGCAAATATCTTCTCCCATCCTTTTGGTTGTCTTTTGGTTTTGTTGACTGTTTCTTTTGCTGTGCAAAAGCCTTTTATCTTGATGAAGTCCCAATAGTTCATTTTTGCCCTTGCTTCCCTTGCCTTTGGCTATGTTTCTAGGAAGAAGTTGCTGCGGCTGAGGTCGAAGAGGTTGCTGCCTGTGTTCTCCTTTAGGATTTTGATGGACTCCTGTCTCACATTGAGTTCTTTCAACCATTTTGAGTCTATTTTTGTGTGTGGTGTAAGGAAATGGTGCAGTTTCATTCTTCTGCATGTGGCTGTCCAATTTTCCCAGCACCATTTGTTGAAGAGACTTTTTTCCATTGGACATTCTTTCCTGCTTTGTCGAAGATTAGTTGACCATAGAGTTGAGGGTCCATTTCTGGGCCCTCTATTCTGTTCCATTGATCTATGTGTCTGTTTTTGTGCCAGTACCATACTGTCTTGATGATGACAGCTTTGTAATAGAGCTTGAAGTCCGGAATTGTGATGCCCCCAGCTTTCCTTTTCTTTTTCAACATTCCTCTGGCTATTCAGGGTCTTTTCTGGTTCCATATAAATTTTAATTTAGATTATTTGCTCCATTTCTTTGAAAAAAGTATTTTGATAGGGTTTGCATTGAATGTGTAGATTGCTCTAGGTAGCATTGACATCTACACAATATTTGTTCTTCCAATCCATGAACATGGAATGTTTTTCCATTTCTTTGTGTCTTCCTTAATTTCTTTCATGAGTATTTTATAGTTTTCTGAGGACAGATTCTTTGCCTCTTTGGTTAGATTTATTCCTAGGTATCTTATGGTTTTTTGGTACAATTGTAAATGGGATCGATTCCATTAATTTCTCTTTCTTCAGTCACATTGTTAGTGTACAGAAATGCAACTGATTTCTGCGCATTGATTTTATATTTGCTTGTGTTTGAACTTTGCATACATATAGAATCACATTGCAATGTTTTGCTCCACATTATGTTCCTGGACCTCATCCATTAGACATGTGTAGCTGTAGTACACTGGTCAAAACTGCCATATAGCACTCCATGTAGGACTACACCAAAATTTTTTGATCCATTCCACTGTCAATGGACATCAGTATTACAGTTTTCTTGGCCATTCCTGTACATGTCTCCTGGTCTATGTCTACTTACTAGGGTAGTGATTCTCAACCCAGGCTGCATATTATAATCATCCAGGGAGCTTAAAAAACTATTGATACCCAAACCTCACTCTTGGAGATCCTGATTTAATTGATCTGGGGTGAAATCAGCACCAGTAATATTTAAAGGCTCCTCCAGGTGGGGAGGTGGGGGGAGATGGGGGAAATAGGTGATGGGGATCAAGGAGTGCACTTGTGATGAGCACCCAGCGCTGCACTGAAGTGTTGAATCACTATATTGTACACCTGAAACTAATATTATACTGTACTAACTGGAATTGGAATAAAAAACTAAAAAAAATCCTTCAAGTTAAAACAGTGTCCTCCAGGTGATTCCAATGTGTAGCCAGGATTGAGAACCACTGCTTCTTGGTTCATAGGCCAGCTAATCTATAGGATTCCTGAGTCATACTATCAACTATGCTCTTCAACTATAGCAGATGATGCCAAAATTTTCTCAAGAGGGCTTATAATTTTTTAGTCCTAACAACAGGGTGTCAGAGTTCAGACTGTTCTAGAGACTCACCAACACCTAGAGATGTTAAACTTTTTTTTCTGATAGGTGTAAAATGGCATACTATAGTTCAATTTGCATGTTGTTGATTACTAATCTTTTCAAATGTCATTGTCTATACATGTTTTCTCTTCTGTTAGGTTCCTGCTCATGTCTTTTGTCCATTTGCTTATTGAGCTCTTTATTTTTTTCTTACTGATTTGTAGGAATTCTTTAAATATCCTGGATAATTACCTTTTGTCCTGGGCCTGAACCCAGGCTCCATCCTATAGCTCTGCGACCTTATGCAAGTTACTTATCCTCCATCAGTCTGTTTCTTTTTCATAAAATGATGTCACAATACCACTTGTGAGGTTTATAGACAATATACATGAAGCACATAGCCTGGTGCTTCACACAGGGCAGGTGTTCAATACCTTTTTTTTTAAAGATTTTATTTATTCACTTGTTAGAGAGAGAGAGAGAGAGAGAGCACAAGCAGGGGGAGTGGCAGGCAGAGGGAGAAGCAGACTCCCTGCTGAGCAAGGAGCCCAACATGGAACTCGATCCCAAGACCCCGGGACCATGACCCGAGCTGAAGGCAGACACCCAACAGACTGAGCCCAGGCATCCCAAGGTGTTCAATACATTGTGGCTATTATGAAGACAGATTTAAATATTAACAAGGATATTGACCATGAAATATTATTCTAGGCCTACAGAGTTTATTTACAATAGATAAGTTGTTTTGAGAAGAGGTCCTGTGCTGTAGAAGTTAAGATCACTGGTCCTGGAGAAAGACAAAATGCTGTGTGACCTTAGGCAAGATACCCTCAGTGTCACTCAGTATTCTTTGTGATATGGGATAATAACAGAACTGACCTGAGAGGGTTGTTGTAAGGATTAAATGGGTAAAAGAAATGTAAAGACCCTCAGGATAGTAAAATCACTAAGATGATTTGAAATTTTCCCAAATCTCCGCTTCAAAAGACATGTTTCTATAGTATACTGAGAAAACCGGTTGCTTTCAATGATCTGTTACTCGGGTGAGAAATCCCTCACAAAGGAAAGATGGAGGAAATCATGTAGCAACTACTTGGTAATAAATCCTTGATGATGGGTGTAACAGGATTAACGATATAATGTATAGTATATATAATACACTAACCTGAGTGAATCACTGAAATATATTCCACTCCCAAGATTTCCAATGTCTGTTCTCTTTGTGCCACGATCTTCAACTACTTTGGGTAAAAGCAACCCACTAAAAAGAAAAAGACATTACAGTGATTTACTAGAAGAAAGGTATCTTTTATTGTAGCCTCAGAATTCTAGCAGAGACAGGTACTATTTAAGGACATGCTAAATGAAATAAGCCAGGCACAGAAAGACAAATACTGCACAACCTCACATATATGGGGAATCTAGCAAAGTCCAACTCATAGAACCAGAGTGCAGAATGGTGGTTTCTAGGGACCGGGGGTTGGAGAAAATGGGGAGATGTTGGCTAAAGGGTATACTAACTTTCAATTTTAAGATAAATAAGATAAATAAAACTCTTTGCTAAGAGCAGATCTTGTGTTCTTACCACAAGAAGAAAAAAGATAACTCTGTGAAGTGATGGATGTGTTAATTACCTTGACTGTGGTAATCATTTCACAAAGTACATGTACATTAAGTCATCATGTTATACACCTCTAAAAAATCACCTCGTACAACCTAAATATATAAAATTCTTATTTGTCAATCATACGTTAATAAAGCTGGAAAAAAATACACCAATTAAAAGACTATAAGTAAATAAAGAGCATGAAATGAAAGGCAAAATGTCCAGGTGCTGTTCAAATATACCAAGCTATGGCCATTTCTCATCACTGTTTTGGTCAGCCCTGAGATGCTGGCCATTTTTCCTGCCTCAGGGCTCTGTCTCCTACCTGTCAAGGCCCCCAGCACTCAATAGAACCATGTTTAAGCCCAATGCTGACTGCATTTCTTTCTGGCTCAAGAACTTATGCAGGTTTCTACTGGCCTTCTAGCTTTGCTAAGAACTCTCTGCAATCAAAGTTAAACCATGGTTATCTCTGGAAAGGTGGATAAAAGGAGACTTCTGCTTTTATTACATAAATATCTACTGTTTGAATTTTGCATTATGAAATGTAATTAATTTTGTAAAATGGTTTTTGGGTTTTAGTCCTACTTAAAGTTTATTTAAAAAAATTTTTAGGGGTGCCTGGGTGGCTCAGTCGTTAAGCATCTGCCTTAGGCTCAGCTCATGATCCCAGAGTCCTGGGATCAAGCCCCACACTGGGCTCCCTGCTCAGTGGGAAGCCTGCTTCTCCCTCTCCCGCTCCCCCTGCTTGTGTTCCCTCTCTCACTGTGTCTCTCTCTGTCAAATAAATAAATAAAATCTTTAAAACAACCTTTTTTTAAAAAGTAAAGCTAGTACCTATAATTTTAGATTTTTTAAAAAAGAATGATTTATTTATTTATTTATTTGCGGGGGGTGGGTGGGGGAGGAGCAGAGGGAGAGGGACAAGCAGGCTCCATCCCCACCAAGCTTGGATCCCAACACGGGTCCCATCCCAGGAACCTGAGATTATGACCTGAGCAGAAATCAAGAGTCGGATGCTTAACCGACTGAGCCATCCAGGCATTCCTAATTTTAAATTTTTAAATCTTTGTTCTGTGTGGAGTTTATTTAAGTGTGAGGAATGAGGTAAGGATCCAATTTTGTATTTTTTCCAGGTAGTAATCTGTCCCAGTATATAGTATTGAAGAAATTATCTTTCTTCCACAGAAATAAAAGCTACTTTTATCATATACTAAACCCTCTATGTTTTTACATTTACTTTTGGATTCTTTATTCTGTGACTCATCTGTTCAGGTACGACCTCACTGTTTTAATTAACATAGCTTTATAAAGTGTTTTTAGTGTCTGACTGGTTAATTCTTCCTCATTAATCTTCTTTTTCTGAATTACCCTGGTAAAATCAAATTTTAAAAAATATGTATGGTAGAATCAGCTTTTTATTTCTTTTTTTTTTAAAGATTTTATTTATTTATTTGAGAGAGAGAGAATGAGAGCACCTGAGAGGGGGGAGGGTCAGAGGGAGAAGCAGACTCCCCGCTGAGCAGGGAGCCCGATGCGGGACTCGATCCCGGGACTCCAGGATCATGACCTGAGCCGAAGGCAGTCGCTTAACCAACTGAGCTACCCAGGCGCCCAGCTTTTTATTTCTTAAAAAAATATCTTGTTAGCACTTTTATTGTGATAGCTCTAAATTTATAGGTTAACTCAAGGAAAATTGGCATCCTTCTGGTTAGTCCAAGTATCTTTTGGGTCCTTCAATGGCAGTTTAAAATTTTTTCCAGATGGATCTTGTATATTTATGTTTCTTCTTAGGTATTTTTTTTCTTCTTAGGTATTTAATTAAGGATCCAGATGTAATCATATCCTCCCCTGCTCCCTGTGACTGCAGTTCAGCTCTAATATTAAGTGGTTATTCAAAGCAAACAGAAAATTACAGTTATGTTTTGAATAGATAACTCACAGTATCTAGGTAACTCTAATTTCTAGACCTTTCTCCTTAAGTATTGGATATTCCCTAGATTAGATAAAATAGAAGAGCCATTAAATTAAAAGAATCCCCTTTCTTCATATGATACTGTTTTCAAGAAGCAATTCATACCCATGTACTATACTTTAATATTTTAAAGTACATAAATTAAATTAAAGTACATAAAGTACATAATTTAAATTACACTTGTTACAATTTAAAGTGTTCGGTTTTCTCTGGAATGCAATAAGCTGATTTTAACTGAAGAGGCCCATGTAATATGGAAAAAAAATAGGAAAAAAGGGTAGAACACTTCATGTTCGTGAGGCTGAAACATTTGGAAAATAAAGATGGTATCCTCTTACCGGGACAGGATCCCTACAAAGCTTTGTACAGGAGATCCATGCAGTAAGGACTTCACATTGCCAAGCTGGCTCAAAAATTCTGTGGCTTCATTCACTCTGCCAACTCTAAATATCTGCAAGATGTCCACTGGACCTCTGGCGTAAAAAGTAGAAGAAAAACCTTGAGACTGCATAATCAAAAGCAAAATAAAAAAATCATTATTAGCAGAAAACGCAAAACAGCCCAAATGGCCATTATTATGGAATGGATTAAGTGAATCACAACACAACATTTCCTGGAAATATGTAGTCATTAAAAAAATCACACTCTTAAAAAATAAATAAGGATATGAAGTAAACCTCATAGTAAAATAAATTTTAAAAATAGTTTACAAAACTTTATACATGGTATGATCTCAAATTTTGTCAAATATATAATATATATAATACATATAATATATAGATGAAATTCATTCATGCATTCATTCATTCAACAAATACACTCTGGAAGCACCTGGGTGTCTCAGTCAGCTAAGCATCAGTCTCCTGATTTCACTGGGGACATGATTTCAGGGTCATGAGATCAAGCCCTGGGTCGGGTGCCACACCAGGCATGGAGCCTGCTTGGGATTCTCTCTCTGCCCCTCCCCATCTTCTGCGCCCGCACGCATGTGCTTGTGCTCTCGTTTCTCTCTCTCTTAAAAAAAAATAATAATAATAATACACTCTATACACTCTAGGCTGAGTATTCTGCCAGGCCCTGGAAGTGAGATACTATGGTCTCTGGCTTCATGGGGTTTGAATCCTAATGGAGAGAGACAAAAATTAAAAATTAAAAGCTAACAAATAACTGATTTTAAGCTTTACTCAGCAAGCCAACCAGGTTCAGCGAGAGAGGATGGTCAAGAAAGGCCTGTCTTTGAAAGTGACAATTATTGCAACATGACATAATACAGTATATATTTTAAGACCTAACTGGTTCCTTTGGGAAAATCAATTGGCTGGGGCAGGAGCAGAAAGAGCGTCAGGAAGCAGGTGAGACATCGGTGTCTGGACTAAAGGTGGCAGCAGTGTGAATGAAAGATGCCAATGGATTCAGACATTTTGGAGACAGAACGGACAGGGCACAGTGATGTGGGGATGAAAGAGAGTTGACAGTGGCTCTGGGTAGGTGACTAGGATGGGGAAGCATGGGGAAAGACTGGGGGACTATGGAGGGACAGAGTTGTGGGGTAGAGGATGTAAGAGAGCCTCTCCAGCAGGTCTTTCCAACTCCTCGTTCTTCGGCGTCACACTGATAGCTTGACACTAGCTATAGTAGGAATATTTACACCACAGAAACCAACAGTTATTGTAAGTCAGGACTTTTATTTCAGAGAGCTGGCTTCCCAGCACACCATTAGATGTGGAGAAGAATCAATAATTGAGTTTGAGATATATTCTACACCAACATGTTAACAGTGGTCATATTATCTCTGGGTTATCTCTGGGTGGTGAGATTTGGGTGATCTTTGGTTTTCATCATACTTTCACATATTGTCTAAACTTTCAGCAAAGAACATGAATTTTATAACTAGAAAAAATTAATATGAAATAATCATCATTAGTGAAATGAAATGGAGAAAATCTAATTCTTCACAGTAGCAGAATCTCTCCATAGGGAGAGGTCCACTTTTGTCATATGAACAGTTCAACATCACTTGGGTGTGAGGTGAGGTCTCCAAGGCCTGCTTGAGTTACATTAAATGGTTGAACTGCACTCCCCTCCCCAGGCTTGAAGACGTTCTTCCTTTTCTTTGATTCCCTGGAAAAAGTCATTTACTCTCCTCCTGATTCTACCTTCATTGTTACTAGTTTCTTAATTAGTATTAGATCCTAGCAGATACCTATGGGAGGGTCAAAAGTCAAATAAAAAGAAATAAAAATAATTTGATTATATATAAAAGTGAAATCTGGAAAAGATCTATAGGAAATGATTTTTTAATTGACATAAAATTCACATAATATAAAATTAACCATTTTGAAGTGTACAGTTCAGTAGTATTTAGTATACTCAAAGTGTGCAACCACCCTTTCTATCTAAACATTTCAGCACTACAAAAGAATACCCCATACCCATTTAGGAGTCAGTCCCCATTCTTCCCTCTCCTGGAACTAGGCAATTTGCTTTCTCTCTCCATGGATTCGATTTATGTATTCTAGATATTGCATATAAATGAAATCATACAATATGTGGTCTTTTGTGTCTGGCTTCTTTCACTTAGCATAATACTTTTGAGACTCACCCATTTTGTAGCATGTATTAGCACTTCATTCCTTTTTTTTTTCTTACCTCATTTTGTTAATCTATTCAACCCCTGATGGACATTTGGGTTGTTTCCACCATTTGGCTACTGTGCATAGTGCTGCTATGAACATTCATGTACCAGTATCTGTCTGAGTACTTGCTTCAATTCTTTGGGGTATATAACAAGGAGTGGAATTGCTGGGGCAGATACGAAATCTGTGTTGAATTTGTTGAGGGACTGCCAAACAGCAGCTGTACCATCTGACACTTTCTTTTTTTTTTTTTTTTAAAGATTTTATTTATTTATTTGAGACAGAGAGAATGAGAGACAGAGAGCATGAGAGGGAGGAGGGTCAGAGGGAGAAGCAGACTCCCCGCCGAGCAGGGAGCCCGATGCGGGACTCGATCCCGGGACTCCAGGATCATGACCTGAACCGAAGGCAGTCGCTCAACCAACTGAGCCACCCAGGCGCCCACCATCTGACACTTTCAAAAGCACTGTATGAGCGTTCCAATTTCTCCACATCCTCATTTAAAACTTACAATTTTCCTTTTTTTTTTTTCAAAGAATATACCCATCTTAGTGGGTGTGAAGTAATGTTGAGAATGGCATTTGAGGATGACTGATCGAGGAAGGCAGAACACAATTTTAGATAGGTCTGAATTAGTCCATAAGGGAGGCGTATGTGGGTCTGGTTCTAGCAAGGTGCTGGAAAACCAGTTCTCAAAACAAAAGCAAAACCCACACACAACCCTGATTTGTAGCATTTGCGGATTTCCATGGTATAAATCTTCCCACCATAGCCAATTGCAAGTTACTAATTGTACTCAGTTCACAAAATTCCTAAAAATGTACAACTGGCCTCCGCAGTTGGTTCAAGGGGCTGCAGTTCACCACCTTTGGCTCTAAGCAGTGTGTGAGGCTGATTAAGGTTAGCCTGGCCCTTTATACCTAATGAGAGTCGAGATGCCAGAAAGGTCCAGAAGAAAGACTTCAGGCAGAGGAGGGCTGGGAAGTTACATTAGTGGGATGAATGACCAAACCAATGCAAGTCACTCTCACCCTCGAGAATAATCCATCAAATTAGTTTCTGAACCTTGAAGCTGGGTCCAGGCTCTCAGAGGAACTAACTAATGCCCAACGAGGGCTTGTCGGAGCAGCTGATCCACATGCGTCTGTTGTTACTGCTGTTGCCCTGGGTTGTAGAACGTACATGGACACAAGCAACACAGACTCACAGTCAATGAGGAAACAAATGTGACTGACATTTAGGGGTGTCATATCTCTTAACGTATTTTCCAGATTTTCAACTGAGTGTTTTCATGCCATGGAGTGGCCATTTTAGAAGCTGCCATGCATATAGTCCTGCATCTTAAAATCTTAAGTGGATTTTCCTATATAATATCCTTCAAAACAAAAAAAATACCTCATGATTTAAAATTTTTAAATTTAATTCTCAGCAAGATTAGGTAAACTTGAAATTATTTCGAGTAGAGTAGTAGGGAGTGTTTTCAAGCACAGAATACTGTCCCAAGGCCTATTATATACAGATATATATATAATCCAGCATGGAGCCCAACGTGGGGCTTGAACTCAGGATCAAGACTGAGCTGAAATCAAGAGTTGGACACTTAACCGACTGAGCCACCCAGGCGTCCCCAAGTCCCATTATAAGCACAGAAGAAAGTAATCTGTCATCACAACATAGCTACCTTGTTACAGAGAATTAAATTACACACGTAATTATGGAGAGTAGTTCTTTTAACAGAATTTGAAATAGTATTACATAATAACAGATCCTAAGACATTTCCTTTACACATACCTGTGATTATTCTGTAAAACCTCTTTTCTAACTCTGAAAAATTCTTCAGTGTTTTGTTCAACATGCTCAATTTTGCATCTCAAAGCTCGGTATTTGGCAAGGGATGGGGGGTTGGGTTTGAACAAATTAGTTTCACAGATATTACCCATGTCTCTTATTAGCTGTAGATGGAAATAATACAAGATGTTAGAATCACTATATATCAAAATATTTAGCGCACGTTACACTTTCTCAAAAAGACTGGAAAAATAAGGTTCCCCGCACCGAAGTCTTTTTTTAAGGTTTTATTTTTAAGTAATCTCTACACCCAATGTGGGGCTTAAACTCACAACCCAGGGATCAAGAGTTGCATGCTCCACTGACTGAGCCAGCCAGCACCCCTCCCCCAAAGCTTTTGATCAATAGGTAAATTGCACATTAAAGGTAATACCTTTTTTATATATTGTGCCCTCAGGGATGGCATAATATACCATAATAATAATAGTGTACATCAGGATAGCACGTCATTGTTGATAAAGTGTTTTCTGGTACATGGTTTCTCTAATCCACACTACAGCACTGGTCTTACTAGATCTTATTGTCCTCATTGTATAGATGGGGAACGTGAGGTTCTGAGAAGCTGAATTAATTGCTCAAGATTCCACAGCAAAGATGGGGTAGTGACTAAATAGGAACTCAGATCATCAGAATTCAAGTCCAATTCTGTTAGCAAAACTTCAATAAGCATGTTCTGTATGCCAGGCATTGTTTCAGGTTTGAACGATACAAAAATGAGTAAGACATGGTTGTCTTCCCTGAGAGAGAACCTAAGTATACTTGGTATACCCATAGGTCATGGAGCTTTGAGGAGGGAACATAGCTCCTACATAATCTGAATTACGTTTATTATAGGGATGTATTGCTTTTACCATCTTTGAGATGAAAGAGACATTGACAGGGGAGCCCTATTTTGCCTGCCACACATCTTTATGACCTCAATGTGGGGAGGGGCTAACTGTAATTCAAATACACCAGCCATAAAAGAAAAGACTGATATATTTTTCTATATAAAAGTAAAAAATTTCTATATGGTAAAATAGAACAGGTCAACCAACCACTCCAAATTCACCATAAGCAAAGTAAAACAAAACAAAACGAACTGTAGAAAATATCTGCAACTCATATCCCAGACAAAGCTCCCTAACTTATTAAGAGGTCCTAAAAATCATGAAGAAAAATAGCAAGATCCAAAAGAAAAAGGGCCAAAGGAAATGAATAGACAGTTCACAGAAAAAAAAAAAAACCTCATAAACTAAATATAAATCCTGTAACTGAGAGGTCATTTCTCATCCATAAAATTGGTAAAGTCTGAAAGTTTGATAAATACACTTGGTAAAACTCTAGGAAATAGAAAGTCTCATTCACTGATAGTGGGAGGGCAAATAGTAGAACCTTTATGAGGGAATAAGACAAAATCTATCACAATTACAGATACATTGATCCCATAAGCCAGTACTTCTACTTCTGGGATGTATCTCAGAGACACTCCTGTGCAGCTACGACATGACAAATATTCAAGCATATTCCCTTTGGCATTGTTTGTAGTAGCAAAGTCTGGAAACAATCCAACCGTCTGGCATTAGGGAATGCCCATACCATGTGGTGAATGAGGATGCTTTCAATTACAGGATATGTTAAGTGGGGAAAAATGGGTGCAGAACAGCAAAGATGGTATACAACTTTCTATGTAAAAAAAGAGGAGAGGAATAAGTATATATGTGCATATTTATAGCTATTTGCGTAAAGAAACTGCAAAGACAAGACACTAATAAAAATGGTTATCTAGCGAGTTGGGGAGTTGGAATGGGTGGAGGAGGGGCAGGGTAGAATACAGATTACTCTGAGTATACCTTTTAAACATAATTTTGACTTTTGAATAATACAAATGTATTACCTACTAAAAATAAAAAAGTTAAATGAATAAGTATTTGGATGGGTACTACATACACCTTCTCAATAGGAAAACCAGCAACTGAGGTTCTTAATGTTGGGTGGTAGGCAAATCATGAAACTAAATTTGGAAGGCTCCTTTAACATCTCATTTATTGGTTCATCTCATTTGTTGATTCTTCACTTATTTTGGATTACAGATGCCTCCAGGAATCTGTTGAAAGCTACAATTTCCCTCAAACATGCGCTATTTTGTATCTTTGACTCTTTTGCAGTCTATGTCATGGATTTCTGATCGTGTCCCAATTCCTTCATGCACAGATGAGGCAACTCAGAGCCAGGGAGTGACTTGGTCTCATCTAAGGTGAGGGGGACACTGGGGCTGCCTTCCTGCTTTCCTCTTTGCTAACTGAGCCCTGCTCCCTCCCCTACAGCTCAAGGGAGAGGGCCCATTTCTGCAGCGTTAGTAATTCCACTCTCCTTGCCAGTGACTGGCTTAGGAATGCACATGTGACTCAGTTCTGAGCAAAGAACTGACCAAAGAGTCTACAGGGCCAGGGGAGCTTGCCCTAAGAGACAAGAAAAGAAATACTCTGGTTGAGATGCTATGAATAACTGCAGCTGTGAGGTCATGAAAGGTGAGCCAGGCTGAGGGAAGCTAAGTTTACAGGAAGCACAGAGATGGAAAGAAGCTGGGTCCTCGTTGGTAATTCTACCTCTAAGCGAATGGACCAGAAGCCACCCTGCAGCTGGCTTCTTGTTACACAGGGTGATAAGTGTTCTCATTGTTTAAGTCAATGACAGCTTTCTGTTTCTTTTGCAAAAAGAATCCTAACTCATCTCGAGATAGGGAAACTGAAGGACTCCATAAAAATCTGCTTTTGTTCCTTTTCCTGTTTCTATTTTTGCTAGGACCTCCACTTTACACATGCCTGTGATGCAAATGGAGTTATGTCCTCTAGATTTCTCAAGAACAGATAACATCTAAGGAAGGACTAGGTGAGAATGAACTGATGAAGCTATCTTAAGAGCATTCCAGACCACCAGAACTAGACATCTCCACAACAAGACCCCCTGGCTCCAAGGAATAACACCTGGGCCCTTTGTTCTAACCAGTTCCTGGGTGCCAGACCATGATTCTCAATAAAAACCCCCAGGTCCCAAGCAAAGACCCCTCCTTTCCTTTCTGAGTCTCCCAAACACTGTCTGTACCTGCTCTCTCTCTCTACCTTCAATAAACTCTGCTATCACCTCCCGCTGGCCCATGTTTGATCTCTATCCCGTGAGCAGCCAGGGACCCTCTTGGCTGGTCCTGCGAGACCTTCTCTGGGTCCTCAGACCTGGCCTGCCAGCATCATCCTGATATAGAAAATTACAGTGTAGCAATTCTAAATATATCTGCCTTTGTACTACTATTCCAACACATTCATGTTTGGGAACATGTTTCAGATAACTTCCATAAGGACCCAAGGCATTCTAAAATGGCTCAACATTTATTTTTGAGCCAACTTTTGTGATTCAGGGCTACTTTATTAATCAGATTTGAAAAGGTCCTTCCCCAACATATTTTAAATTGAATTCTGTATTTCAGAGATTTACCTGGCAGAGGTCCTCTTTCTTAGCCAATAGTCTCAGGGTCACTTTTTCAGTTGTTGTACCTTTGTGAGGTATTAATCTGTAGAACTCAGTCATCATTTTTTGCAGTTGTTCTTCTGTTTCTCCGTTTTTCAATGCTGCCTTTACTAGAAGGAGAAGTCCTTCTGCCTTGCTCACCTTTAAATGGAGGACAGTATATGCTTATTAAAGTTGATTCTTGACCATCAGAGAGAAAGTGAAGGAATGTGCCTAAAAGCAACTAAAATAGTTGTTAGGTAAGTCACAACTATTAGTTTTCTACTGGACACCAGCCGTAAAACAGATGCCATGTTTACAGGAGATGTAGCTCAGTTGTGACGCCGCCTCCATGAGAAATCTTCCAAAACCGGGCTCAGCTTAACTACAGGAAAAAAACAGAGCCTTAAATATCTGTATCTGTATATCTACATCTATACCTACATCTACAACCGTATCTATAGCTACAACTGCATCTACATATCTGTCTATATTCTCGGAGAGAGGAATACTAATGCAACCGCAGGAGACTTGCTTTTCACACACGAAGTTTAGAAAGCTGTCAGAATCACACTAGGAACAAAATCCAGCGGAACATGTTTCTAATTACGTAAGCACTGTTTGGACTTTGCCCCAGAAAACATTTTTCTCCCTGAAATAAGTTAGTTTAGTTCCCCAGAGGGAAACTGTATTATTTTACTATGACAATGCAGCTGTACTGACAATGCAGCTGTACAAGTTGTACCATTGGGAATAGTTTCTTTCATCTGCTCTTTCCGTCATACAAAATTAAGGAGAGTATTTTTTGGAGGGCTGCAGGCATCCCTGGCCTTTCCCTAAAATGGTCACAAGTTACAAGACTGTGAAGCAGTGGCTCTGAAGTAGACGAGGGTCCGAGCATCTGACTGAGGACCAAGAGCAACCCTGTGTCTCAGGCCTGCTAAGCACCTTGCGACCTAAAGGAGCAGGCCTCCCAATGAGCCGACACCAAAAAGCGGACCTTGCAGCAGCTCTTGGGTCTGACGTTTTATATAGATAAGAACATCTAGTTTTCTTGGAAGCTTGTTTTCCCCTCAGTGCTCTCAGTGTTCCCTTTTTCCAAGGTAAGAAAAGGCACGCCAGGAATGCATCCAGGAACAGCTGGGCCGGCACCCAGACACACGTGGTATCATTTAAGCCAGTAAGCCAGAAAGCAGGTTTGTCATTATAGAGGTTCTGCTTCAAGGGCACGCGTGACTCACGTCATGGAGACTAATCCTGTTCACAGGCTTGAGAAGCATGTGCTCCAGGTGGCCGAGAGATTCCGCCCAAACCATCTCCACCAAATCGCTCACTTCTTTGCTCAGAGTGTTTGAATTTATTACCTCCTCCAAAAGCAACTGCAACAAAGTTAAAAAAAAACAACAAAAAACAACCAACAAAAGGTTTCATTGGTGAGTTGATTTAAAGCTGAGATGAACAGAGATGAGAGAAGAAATAATCACAGCCAAGGAGAGAGTCACAGGCAGCCAAGGGACTGATAATTCCCTGTACCTCCACTTCCCCCCTACACTCTCTTTATTTCCCCTTTCTCTCCTTTACTCCCACTTTATGTCTCCTTTTGCCTTTTCCTTCCCTCTGTAAACTTTAGGTCTGCCAGTGGCATCAAAGTTTAAGTGGCATTAAAGGTTAAGGACCCCTGATTCTTGGCCTAGGTTATAACGGAATCTTTGAAAGCCATGGGTGGGGGTTTGTTGCTGGAACAAGCAGGAAGTTTTGTGGCTCTTCCTAGAACTCACTCCTCACCCGGTTTCCACACCTGCCTGTGAGTTTACTCTTCTTGTTCTCTGACTCTTCTCTCTTGCCAGGTTTTTATTTGTCGTAAAGAAAACACTTCTATTAAAAATATTCAGTCGATCACACAAAATAGCACACAGAAATCAATCTTACTGCTTGCAGTTTTTCAGATGCTAATTGGGTTGCTTCCGGTGTAAAATGTTCTCTTAGCAGAAATCCTTGTTTCTTCAGCTCTTCAATGTAATTTTCGTAGTATTCACTTGCATCTGCAGAGGTTTTCTTTACAGAGGACTTTCTAGTCTGTGAATTATAGTGTGGAGCAAAATGTTAGGATGTGAGGATACAGTCACTTATTAACCTATGGATCTTTATTGAACACCTCCTATGCACCATGGGGAAACGGAATGTAAATAAGGCATTGGATCCCTGCCATGAAGGCACTGATTAGTTTTTTCAAAGAATTACTTAAATCTTCAATTCTTCACAAAACTGCCTAACACCTGAAAGTAAGGGGAGAAAAGCCTGAAAAGGCGCAACAGGCGGAAGAGATGCATTTGATTCATGGGAGAGTCATTCAAACGTCTGTTCAGAGATTACGTACTCTTACTTTACATACTAGTCTAATTAGCTTTGAAGTCTGGCATTCAAGCTTTTTGGGAAATGAGAAAAATAAATCAGAGGAGAGGAAGAAAAGAAAAATACCTCAAAAATGAGGTACTGTTAGGGACAAGCACACAGTCAAAATGAAATGATAGCTACCAGCAGGGAGAAAGGCAGGAAAGCTCTTAGTCATGCAAATAACATAAAGGCATGGAGCAAGGTGTCCTCTGGATAGGTACAAACTGCCTCCTTCCTTCCAACCTGCCCGTGGATGTGGCATTTGTCTGTTTTTCCTGGAAATCCTTGCTCCTGTTGTGAGCAGTTGTCCCAAAGTTATTAACCTCTGAGAATGTGGGAAGTCCAGCCCCAGCTGGGGCCTGTGGGTGTTGGCTAAGCCCCTGGCTCTGGAGTGTATGGGAGGGGGTGCGGGTGGCGGGGCAAGTCAGACTCCCCAGGACACCATAACCCGCCCTCCTGAATTGGCGGCTACAGGGAGCCTCTGGAACGTGAAGAAAAGAAGCATATCATGTTCCAGTTACTCCATTTAAGAAGGTAGAATTTAACATAATTTTGGAAGATTTGCACAAAATGTTTTTGTATGAGAGAGAGAGGCAAGCTAGAAAAGCCTCTTTTGCAGGACATCTCTTTCAGTGTTGGTTAAGCGAGGATAATTTCTCTCAAAGCAGACTCACCCGAGGAGCCCTCTATTTGCCTTCTCAGACTCAGGCTTGCCAAGGGAGGAAGGCACCCAGGAAGAGCTCTCAGGGTAGTAAGCAGGAGGGGACACGGTGGCCTATTCAGCCTTAGAGTTTTCTTTTTCAGTAAAGAAAAATAATTATAACACGTTCTATCATGGTTTTCAACTTGATGTTTCCTTACTTTTTATCCACACAATTAAACCCTCCACAAAATACAGCATACATTTTTGGGGTAAAAGGTTAACAAAACCCTTTCTCTTACTTAGACACATTTGACTTGGATTAACTTTTTGTATCTGTTCCCAAAATTGCCTGGGTAATAGTGACTTCTCATTAATAAATCAGGACTGGGAGTTCAATGAATGAACGATAAGTGGTAGGTGGGAGACCTGACCCTTAGGTTTCCCTGAAAGCAGTGTCGTAAGTAATGGGCACCTCCCTTAAAGACATCTTGAACCTAGGCCCATGTTACCACAGGTATGGGCTACTGTGGGTGGGCTTCCAAGTCAGGTGGATTCTGTACCCACCTGAGCTGAGTCTCCCTCCTGGCACCAGAGCTGACACCTCCAGTGGGGGCAAAGCCAGAAGCATCCAGAGCCTGAGTACTATGCTGTGAGGACCAATCCTACTGAGGAGCACCTGGGTGAGGAGGTGCTGGGTTTCCTGCCTGTAAATCTGTCTGGACAGAAGACACCCTGTGGGTGTGGCAGTGTTTACTTTGAATTTTAGGTATTAGTTCTGAATTTATTTTTGTTTCATAATAGTTTCAGGTTGGAACCATGGCCTTGACTTGACCGTGACCTAACATAAAAGTCTCAGCCTCTGCAAAGCCTTCCTTGCTGTTCTGTCCCAGTGGATTACAGTCATGAATGTGTAGTTTCATCCCTGGTGGTGATCTCTGAGGGGCAGGGTTTGAAGTAATTTTTATCTTTGGCCTCCAGTAGATCAGTTGGTACATAGTAGGTACTTAACTAAGTGTGTGAACAGATTGCCTTAAGCAGAGTATACGTTAGTCAAGTTCCCACAAGTGATTCAGCACAGGAGCAGGGGGCCTACATGCCCTGCACGCAGTGACTATTTCTTTTTTTTTTTTTTTTTACATTTTTTTCAATTTTATTATGTTATGTTAATCACCATACATTACTTCATTAGTTTTTGATGTAGTGTTCCATGATTCACTGTTTGCATATTACACCCAGTGCTCCATGCAGAACATGCCGTCTTTAATACCCATCACCAGGCTAACCCATTCCCCCACCCCCCTCCCCTCTAGAACCCTCAGTTTGTTTCTTGGAGTCCATAGTCTCTTACGGTTCGTCTCTCCCTCCGATTTCCCCTCCTTCATTTTTCCTTTCCTACTGTCTTCTTTTTTTTTTTTCTTAACATATAACATATTATTTGTTTCAGAGGTACAGGTCTGTGAATCAACAGTCTTGCACAATTCACAGCGCTCACCATAGCACATACCCTCCCCAATGTCCTTCACCCAGCCACCCCATCCCTCCCACCCCCCACCACTCCAGCAACCCTCAGTTTGTTTCCTGAGGTTAAGAATTCCTCACTATTTCCTTTTAACAAGAAAGAAGCCCTGTGCTGTTCTAGTCAGAGCACTGCTCTCACCCTCCTCTCCTCACCTGCCATATTCCAACAGAGACATGTTTCTACCTTTCAAAACTATTTATCAGGTAAAAAGTTTAACAGATTGGCAGGTTCACTGAGCAATGTTAAGGAAACTAGGTATGAACAGAGTGGATAAACACATAGGAATCAATATAAAGATCATTACCTTGCGGTGCCTGGGTGGTGCAGTTGGTTAAGTGTCCAACTCTTGGTTTTGGCTCAGGTCATGATCTCAGGGTTGTGAGATCCAGATCTGCACTGGGCTCTGTGCTCAGTGCAGAGTCTGCTTAAGAGTCACTCTCCCTCTCCCCCTGCCCCCTACTCTCTCTCTCAAGTAAATAAATAAATCTTAAAAAAAAAAAAAAAAAAAGATCATTACCGTGAGGCCACTAGCCAAGAGGAAATGTGCGGATGTGAGAAAGGCAGGGTCCTCGGGGTCCTGGGAGCTCTGCAGTTCTAGCACTGCCACCTCCTTACCTCCCTCTGCCCCGATCTGGAAAATAGGTTGTTCCTTCAGAAGCTGCATCCATTCAGTAACAAACCACACACACCATTTAAAAATGCTGATTATAAAACTAACACTAGTTCGGGCGCCTGGGTGGCTCAGTTGGTTAAGCGACTGCCTTCGGCTCAGGTCATGATCCTGGAGTCCCTGGATCGAGTCCCGCATCGGACTCCCTGCTTGGCAGGGAGTCTGCTTCTCCCTCTGACCCTCCCCCCTCTCATGCTCTCTCTCTCTATCTCATTCTCTCTCTCAAATAAATAAATAAAATCTTAAAAAAAAAAAAAACTAACACTAGTTCATTTGGAGATATAATTTGGAAAATACAGCAAGTATAAAGAAAATATAAAAATTACCTGAAGTCATACTACAGATATATAATTACTATTAATATTTTGGTATATTTCTTGCTGGTATTTTTACTATAGATATATCTGTGTATGTTTAAACTGTACCACTTTTTATATTTTCTTTGTCACAGAGGAAATGTTATTTCCAAGTTATATTTTATTAAAATATCTAAAATATACAAATGGAGCATAATTTTGAATGCTAGGGTTTTCCCTTATACGATACTGGAGAAATAACTTCCTCTTTTTCTTTTTAATGAATAGTAATGGAAATTCAGCATGATGTAAATAACTTGTTGTCAAATGTAAATACTACTCTTAAAAATACAAGAACCCGTTAATAAACAGGGAGGAGGTCTTTACTTTTAAAAGTCATGTTATTATTTTGTACTGTTTATATTTTTATTATGAGCATGTATTACTTTTATAATAAAAACACTAAAAAGTTAAATATTAAATTTTAAATATAAAATTGTCTTGATTATTAAAAATCAACTTTTATATTAAGAAATATTTATTCAGGATATGCACAATTTTCCAAAACAATGAGAAAATTATCAAGCAGGAAAAATAATCAGAAGACACTTGGTTTGTTTTTGTTTTTTAATACAGACTCTTACTTTTTCCAAGGTGTTATATTTTGCAACTTCAAAGTCTTGTGGAAAACGAGGAATTTCAACAATGTCTTTATAAAACCTGAAATTTGTATAATAAAATTTTAACATTAAAATGGACTTTTAGACGAAACAGAATTTTCATAAAATGTTTCTTAGAAGTCTCCTAATTGCATACAAAATACATTTTAAGTCCCTAATCTCCTCCGAGGTTCTGAAAATGGTTAAAAAGTCTCATGTAATGAGCTGGATTCCTCCCTTGCATAACTCTAGAGCTCTGATGCCGAATACTGAGTGTCTGCACTGGAAGGTGGGGTGGCATGAAGCAGAAGCAGAGGCATAAGAGAAGCAGGCCAGGGCACTGGAGAAAGCACCGATCCTAGCAGAGGCAAGTGACCTGCACTTTCTTGGGTTCTGATCCTTAGAAGCTGGGTCACTCAGACAGGCTCACACCAGAGACTCTCATACTACAGTCAACCCCCTTTAAAACAAAGGTGTCAGATTTCTCATAATCTGTACTTTCATTTTTGATATTTGTTCTGTCTTTTAACACTACTATTAACAAATAAAATAAGGCTCAATGTGATGCTTAATGACACTACACTTTTGGGTATGCTTTACGAAGCCATATAGAAATGTAGCCTCACATACTCCATTTGCAGAAGTTGTCACTATTTCCATTTTTTGACCTATTAGGTAGGAAGAACAGTCTCAAGTCTAAAGGCTTCTCGGTAAGGTAGCAGGGTAAGCAGACTGCCCAGATCTCATCTCCAGTGCCTTTTCTTTTTTAAAATCAATCTAATAATTATGTTCACTCTTATATAATACTAACATGGAAATAATTATCACTATACTAGTTGAAGTAAAAAGTCTTAAATAAATAAAAGCCTAGAATTAGAGAAGCGAGATAAATGAAAAAAGTACAAAAAACATGATATATTAATAGCATTTTAAAACTGTGTTTGACTGTCTGACTTCAGCTCAGGTGGTCATCTCAAGAGTCATGGGATCAAGCCCCACATTGGGCTCCCCGCTTATCGGGGAGTCTGCTTGTCCCCCTCCCTCTCCCTCTGCCCTTCATCCTGCTTGTACTCTCTGTCTCCCTCTCAAATAAATAAATAAAATCTTAAAAAACAAAACAAAACAAAAAAACCTGTGCTTGAGGTTTACAAAACATTTTGCAAACTGAGTCTTAATGATCAGAAGTATATTACTCCGGGGACACCTGGGTGGCTCAGTTAAGCATCTGCCTTCAGCTCAGGTCATGATCCTAGGGTCCTGAGATAGAGTCCTGCATCAGGCTCCTTGCTCAGCAGGGAGCCTACTTCTCCCTCTGTCTGCCGCTCCCCTTGCCTGTGCTCTCTCTCTAACAAATAAATAAATAAAATCTTTTAAAAAATAAAAGTAGATTACTCTGTGAATTCCACAATGTCTTCCTTCTCCATGGAGTCGTCCAGGGATGGATCATCTGTTGTCACCTCTAGAACAAAAACAAAACACTTGTTTACTACTCAAAGATTTATTAAAATTATTAACAATAAGTCCTGGAATTTTTAAGATTCTTTTTTTTTTTTTTTAAGATTCTTGAATATAGGTCATACTTACCATACTATTCTTTTCTTTTTTTAAAGATGTCCTTAAATTAGCTATAGTAATTGGTGATCTAAGGATAGTACAAGTGGGACAAGAAGAAGGTAAATTAAAAGTAAAAGATAGTAAGAATATATTATAATTCTATTTTAATAGGCGTGTGAAGAGAATTCTAATGTTATCTGTATTATTTGAAACTCATTGATGGATATTCAATTTCAAATGGAATTTTTCTCTTCAGAAGATTATGGTGAGCATAGTTATGAAATGCATTTCTAGTATGCTGCAGGGTCAGAATGAGTTCCCCAGTGCCATCATGTCACAAATGAAGGACCTGAGGATGTTCTTGCTTAGAGGAGGGAAATTTGAGGGTTCCTATGTGAAGCCAAGCAATTTTTGCTTCATATTTTTCTTATAAGAGAAGCGTAACACTGTCTATAGAATTATGATATATAGGAATAACTCCTTTTATGCAAGAATTTCTTTCCAGTTTTAATTATGCTATCAAAATTTCAAAGGGTGTCAATGTATTTGCAGTAATTCTGAATCTGACTGTATCACTCTGGATATTGAAAAACATTTTCAATGTAAAAGAAGTTTACTATCCTGCCTATTTTGTTTTAGCTACCATTTTCTGAGAGCAAGAAAGTCTGATGACAGCATTTTTGGACAATCATTTGTCTAAAGAGGCTGCACCACACCCAAACATTGATTTCTAAAACTCCTATAAATAATACAATTTGTATATACTATATGATACCTAACATATATCAGGTGCTTACTGTAGATTATTATTTATCAGAATTGCTTCACTTTTGATATGTCTCATGAGGAGGGCATTTCCCTATATCCAAAGGCTTGCTTCTTGGCCAGATTCCAAAATAAAATCTGGGTTTACAAAGGAGGTATGTTTCTTTTTGAGAGATCATCTTTGGGAAAGAACTTCTTTAGCAAAAGGCTAGTCATAAAATTTCCAGTCATTAAGTTGTGGTGATAAATTTTTAACACAAAGTTTCTTCTCCCTCCCAGATAAAGTGACACATCAGGTTTTCTGAGATTATCAGTGTTCTTGTAGTCTTTTTGAATCTGATCACACTAGATTGGATATTGAGAAATCTATTCCTATTGCTAAAGTAGTTTTTGTCCTTCACTATTTGGCTGCCCATTTTCTGAGATAAGAAGTTTAATAATTTTTGTAATATGTCTAGACAATCCTTTGACTGCCTTTAATAAACCAAAATGTTTACTATAGCACCTGTAATATATTAAGTGCTTCATATAAAATACTTACCAGAACTGCTTGCCTTTTGACAAGGAGGTGGTGTGATGTCCACTGCCTTATTAGGATCATAATTCATTATGTCCAAGAGCCTCCTTTCTTTGATAGAGTTCCATATAAAATCTGGGTTTATAATAAGGATATGGTTCTTTTGGATAGACTTCAGTTGATACTGGCTCAGAACATCAGCATTGTCTAAGATTATATGTGTGCACTTAGAAAAAAAAAGAATCAATTCATTAAGTACTTGTAAAAACAAAATCTAAAGAAATTACTTGCATCTGTAATTTTCAACCGTAAAAGTCTTTCTTTTATTAAGTTCAATTAGCCAACATATAGTACATCATTAGTTTTTGATGTAGTTCAATGATTCATTAGTTGTGTATAACACCCACTTCTCATCAGATAACGTGCCCTCCTTAATGCCCATCACTCAGTTACCCCATCTGCCCACCCTCCCTTCTGCAACCCTGAATTTGTTTCCCAGAGTCCAGAGTCTCTCATGGTTCGTCTCCCTCTCCGATCTCTTCCTTCAGTTTTCCTCCCTTCCCCTATGGTCCTTCACACTATTCCTTATGTTCCACATATTAGTAAGACTATATGATAATGGTCTTTCTCTGCTTGACTTAATTCACTTAGCATAATCTCCTCTAGTCCCATCCATGTTGATGTAAAAGTTGGGTATTCATCCTTTCTGATGGCTGAGTAATATTCCATTGTATATATGAACCACATCTTCTTTATCCATTCATCTGTTGAAAGACATCTTGGCTCCTTCCACAGTTTGGTTATTGCGGACATTGCTTCTATGAACATTGGGGTGCATGTGCCCCTTCTTTTCACTACATCTATATCTTTGGGGTAAATACCCAGTAGTGCAATTGCTGGGTCATAGGGTAGCTCTATTTTTAACTTCTTGAGAAACCTCCACACTGTTTTCCAGAGTGGCTGCACCAGCTTGCATTCCCACCAACAGTGTAAGAGGGTTCCCCTTTCTCCACATCCTCACTAACACTTGTTGTTTTCCTCTAGGATTTTGATGGATTCCTGTCTCACATTTAGGTCTTTCATCCATTTTGAATTTATCTCTGTGTATGGTGTAAGAGAATGGTCCAGTTTCATTCTTCTGCATGTGGCTGTCCAATTTTCCCAGCACCATTTATTGAAGAGACTGTCTTTTTCCATCGGATATTCCTTCCTGCTTTGTTAAAGATTAGTTGACCATAGAGTTGAAGGTCCATTTCTGGGCTCTCTATTCTGGTCCATTGAGCTACATGTCTGTTTTTGTGCCAGTACCATACTGTCTTGATGATTACAGCTTTGTAATACAGCTTGAACTCCATAATTGTGATGCCTCCAGCTTTGGTTTTCTTTTTCAACATTACTGCAGCTATTTGGGGTCTTTTCTTATTCCACACAAATTTTAGGATTGTTTGTTCCCGCTCTGTGATTAAATTCTCAAAGCCTTTCTTCATGGGCTATTAGTTGTTTTTCTCCCTTTTCCTCAACTTCCTTCCTTTCCATCAGTCTGTCCTCTAGATCACTTATTCTCTCTTCTGCCTCACTGACCCTAGTTGGTAGAGCATCCAATTTAGACTGCATCCCATTCATAGCATTTTTAAGTTCGGCCTGATTAGATCTCACTTCCGCCCTTAGAGATTCTGTATAGTCATTTATGCTTTCTTCAAGCCTAGCGCTTAACTTTGTAATTGCTATCCTGAATTCTATCTCTGACATCTTGCTTATATCCATATTGATTAGCTTTGTGGCACAGAACATTGTCTCTGGTTCTTTCCTTTGTTGTGAGTTCTTCCTTCTAGTCATTCTGCCCAAGGAAGGATGGGTGAGTGAATGAACAGGGTCCAGAATAGCAACCACGACCCAAGCAAAATGCACCCTAGAAAAAATCTGAAGAGGTCAGACACCACCATAGAAAAGCAAACAAAGCAAGATGAACCAAAACAATAAAAAAAAGGGGTGGTGGAGAGAGACTATAATCTCACAGGGTGGACAAAGCAGGTGATCTTCTTGTTCCTGATTGAATTTTGGTCTCTGTGTTAGAAGACACTACATCCCAAAATTGCAAGGAAAGCAAAGTTTATATACATATATAAAATTGGATAGAGTGAAAAAAGGACTAGAATGAGGCATAAATCGATAAAATGTAGATGTGAGAAAAAAAGTTAAAAAGCAACTTAAAAACATAAGTTGGTAAAATAAGAATCTAGTTGAAATGGGGAAAAGATTAAAAAAAAAAAAAGAAATGTAAAATTTTAGACTGAAGGATAAACGGGTCATGGGGAAACACCTGGAGCTCAATATATTATTTTCCCCTGGCTCTGGGGTTTTAAAGTCCTGTGGGATCTATAAGCTTGTTATCCACCTGTTCTTAGGTCCGTCTTCTGGGGGAGGGGCCTGTTGTTCTGCTTCTCAGGTGTCTTTGTCTGGGCGGAGTTGCCCCACCCCTTGTCAGGGGGATGGGCTCAAGGTGAGCTGGTCGTCCATGTGGCTTTTGTTCCCTGGTGGCTTTCCGCACTTCTTCAGAGGGTCAGAGCAAAAATGGCCATGCCAGGATCTCTGGCCCAGAACCGCAAGATCATGGTCCCCCTTCTTCAATAAACCCTCCAGGTCAAACCATCTCCACTTCTGTGTGCACCAAACCTACAGACTCCGTAGTTCATCCCCACCGCAATTCTCCCGGGGGGCATCCCTGGTGCCCGAGAGTGACACTTCGCTTTGTGTCTTTGTGACTGCAAGCGGTTGTGGGCTCACTCACACCCTGCTCCGCTGCTCCCAGGTCACAGCTGGGTGCTGTCCTACTGTCCTTTCTGGGGCCATTGCTGCCCTGAGAGCTGTTGCCCAGTCGTGGGCACAGCCTCTCTGTGTGCCACACCCCACACAATCTGGCGATTCGTGCCCACTTCAATTCTCCCAGGGGGCGTCCCGGGGGCCCGAGAGCCTCACTGCACTTGTGTCTTTGTGACTGTGAGTGGTTGTGGGCTCACGCACGGACCCTTCTCCATTGCTCCCAGGTAATAGCTGGATGCCATCCTACTCTCCTTTCTGGGGCCACCGCCATCCTGAGAGCTGTTGCCCAGTCATGGGCACAGCCATTTTGTCTCTCCCAGGGGATGTTAAACAGCCCACATGTTCCAATCCTTTTCAGGGTGCTCAGGAAAAGAGCAGTCTCCCTACCGGCCCGGCTCATGGTTTATGGTGACAGGAGCTGAGAGTCCCTTCTGGGCTCGCTGACCATAACCGGTTTCCCTGCTCCACTGCTTGGGCACTCTATCGGATCAGGTGCCTCCATTCCTTCTGTGTTTCCTGGGATCCTGAGACCACAATGACCCACCTAGAATTCTGCTCTTTTCATCCCCTGCGCCCCTTTAAGAAAGGGATGTCTCTCACTGGAACAGATTTCTAAGGGTTCTGATTTTGCACTCCAGCGTTATGTCACTTTCTGGCCACTGGCTTATGGAGGGTCCCTCCCCACTCTGTTTATCTTCAGATATTTCCCCACAGATTCACGATTCCACACCTCCTACCTTGCAAAAAGCAATCGTTTTTCTGCTTGTAGAGTTCCAGATATATTTTCTTACATCTCAGGCTGAATTTGTGTGTGTTCAGAATGGTTTCATAGATACCCAGCTAAATTCGAGGGACCAGATAAAACGAGGTCCCTATTCTGTTGCCATCTTGCCTCCTTCCCCTAGAATGCCCACCCTTAAAAGTCTTGATAGTAATCTTTCTCAGATTTCTAAAACTCTTAAAAATAATATAATTTTAGTTAAATAAAAGTTTAAAAAATCAACAGTTTTTAAAGAATACGGATAGGGATATACCATAATTGATTAACGAACCCTAGAGGTTATTTCTAAATTTTCACTCCTTTAAACAATGCTGTGCTGAACATCTTCATGTACACATATTTGAACAAGAGATTCAAAAGGTATTCATTATTTATTAAATTTGTTAAGTTGTAATTTTATTAATCTATTTTGGAATAAATAGTATATGACATTGTAGAATATCTACAAAGTAAAATAATAATAATAAATTAACACATTTTGTACCATTGTTCCCAGTTCGTCTCCCCAGAGGCATCTGTTGTAACTTGTTTCTGGAATATCCTTCTAGAGCTATTCTATGCATAGGCAACACACATATAAGTACACAGCCCTATTTTTAGTCACAAATGGCAGCATACTAAACATGCTGTTCTGAACCTGCTTTTCCACTTAACAATTCATCTTGGAGCTCATTCCTCAACAATATATACATAGCTGTCTCCTTCATTATAATACCTGGTATGCACATTTCAAAAGTTTATATACATTGGCAACATAACTTCCAAAAAGTATACACTCACAGTATGGGGGAATTTCTGAAGATGAGAGACGATGTTGGCATTCTTTACCCAGAAGATAAACTGAGAAGGCATAACTGGCCTGAATTATTCATCCGTCCATAGAAATGGTGAAACAGGCAAGTGAGGAAAGCCGTATAATAAGGGATGTATATACAGTTCTGCCTAAACTGGAGGTGAACAGGGACATTCCATCTCTGATAATCACAGGCAAACTATTAAATGCCACAGAGCACCCAGGATCTAGCTGGAGTTGAACATACTTCACAGAACAAACCAGACTCATGGTCAGCAAGCCCCAGGGCTGTGGTCCAGGAAGGGGCAGGCTAAGCCACCAAGCTTAACCTGTCAGGCTTACAGTTCATTTCAAGAGAGGGAAAGTAGCTTCCTTCAGCCTTTAAATAAACAAAACAAGCAGTACAAGCTGAACAAGCAGTACAAGATGACTTCACGATACACGTTTTTCTTTGTCCCCTGAGTCACACTGTACAGGTGACGCTCAGGGTTGACGTACTGGTGAGCGATTAGATAGACTGCTTTTTGCAAATGCTGTACACCATTACTTTTCTCCTTCGAGAACAGATTTGGCTGGTCTGAAATTATTTCTGTTTAGGTCTTCAGCTGTACTCTAATAACCTCAGATTCACAAGGTGTAATGGACAGAAGGTGAGACGTGTGGTTTTCCCTCCTTTGCCTTTCTCCAGCTCAACTTCCCTGTTGACGATGTCACAATTTCACCTGCCTTCAGTGACTTTCTCCTGTGGCTAATTTTCTCTGCTTACCCTTCTAACCACGACCTGCTCTCCCTTTTAAAAAAAAATTATTAATTTATTATTTTAAGTAAGCTCTATGCCCAGCATGGGGCCTGAACTCAAGACCCCGAGATCAAGAGTCGCATGTTCTCCCCACTGAGTCAGCCAAGTGCCCTGACCTACCCTCCCTTAATGCACAGTATTTATCACACAGTTCTTAGAAAGTTTGCAAATACCTGAGGATTTAATAAAAAGGAAAAATTTCCACCATTCTCCTTAATGTCATTTTGTAGCTTTTTCTTCTGTTGACGAGGTAAGTGCTTGACTTTCAAACAGAAGGTACAATTTGCAAAGATCCTTATAGTCATCCTGTAGGAAAAAAAGTCAAGTCATAGTTTTAAAGGATTCTCAATGGAATATCACTCAGCCATCAAAAAGAAAGAAATCTTGCCATTTGCCACGACATGGATGGAACTAGAGGGTATTATGCTAAGTGAAATCAGTCAGAGAAAGATAAGAGACTCTTAACTATAGGGAACAAACTGACAGTTGCTGGAGGGGAGGTGGGTGAGGAGATGGGGTGACTGGGTCATGGGCATTAAGGAGGGCGCTTGATGTAAGGAGCACTGGGTGTTAGATGCAACTGATGAATCACTAAATTGTACCCCTGAAAGTAGTAATACAGCATATGTTAATGAAACTGAATTTAAATAATAAATAAATAAACAAACCACCTTATAATAAAATTCTGGTGAGTCTGTGAAAAAAAATAAAAGGATTCTCTTTTCAGTGAATATAAATGACAGCGAATTCAAAATTGTTCTACATGAAAACTGTGGGAAGCTGGGCATTATTTTAAAAAGACATATTGCAATCATTTTTAACAAAAACTGAAGAGTGATCAAACTTGCAATAAGTATGTTGGTTTTAGAATCATTTTTAGCTTTATGGCTGATACTATGGCACTCCAAAATACTTTGGTATAGGCTCATACTATACATCTTAACGGAAATGTATAGATTTCAGTTACAGATCAAGTGTGTGGTTTAAGAACATAGAAGCATTTATTTCTAAATTAAAAATAAATATATGATAGTGAAACCACAGATTTTTATATATAATTCTATAAAATCAAAAAGACCCATTAGTCCCATTAGTTATGTGGGTTTCTGTTAAGCCATTCTAGAGAAAAAATTTATCAATTAGTAATAAAAACATACAACTTATATTTAAGTGGAAACATATTTTAATTTAATTTCTTTTATTATCATACTTTCCCACATATAGAAAAGAATTACTTCTAAGAAAAATAGGCATATTTTGAATGGAAAGACATTTATAGGTATGTAACAATAAACTAATAAGTGGTGAGATACTGGATTTAATTCACAGTAGCTATTTATCAATTTTTAAAAACTGGAGTCACCTCTAACAGGTTCCCCCAAATAAGGTGGTGTTTCATGGAAAGCGGCTCCCAGGTCTGACTGAGTGAGGCAGGTAGTTGTCAGGAACCTACAGGGCCCAGCCTCCCAACCGCGTGTCCAGGGTTCATGTTCCTTCTTCAGCTCCACCTGCCCCTGGAATGCCCAGTTCTCCCAGGCTGGAGTCCTCGTTCTAGTCTCCTTGCCTGAGCAATGGTGCCCATTCTTCAAGGCCCTGAAGGACGTCTATATGAGGACCACCCCTAATTTAGGACAAAATGACCACTGCCTTCCCCATGTGTGTACCTCAGGCACCCCAGATTTGCCAAATCCACAACATAGGCCTACCCCTGTTCTCCTCTTGGGAAGTGGCTGCTGGCTGTTGCTGGCTGCTCAAGCCACTGGGTGCTACCTGTGATTTCTCCCCATCTTACCCCCTTTGGCCATCAGCATTTCCTTCTCACAGCAGGTGCAATCGACCCACTTCCCCATCTCCTATGTCACCCTGGCCCCCATCAGTGGAGACCTAACTTCCTCTCCCACTTCTGCTCCTCTCTGCCTCTAAGTTCCTCTACATTGTAGCTTGGGTAAACTTTTTTTTTTTTTATGTTTCAAGTGAAATTCAAATTTCTTACCATGGTTCAAGGCCTGGCCTCTCTCCACAGCCTCCTCCTGCACCTCTCTCACTCTGCCCTTGTCACACTGGCTTTTTCTCCAGGTTGGCAAAACTCCAAGTTGGGTCCTTAGGGCCTTCACACGTGCTGTGCCTTCCCCTGGGACACTTCTCTCTATCCCCACCCCACACTTAGGACCTAAATTATCTGTTCAGTAAATGAACAAATTAGGGGTTCACATTTTTTTTTTCTTATGATGTCTGGTTAAACTGAAGTCTCTTGATCTAACTCTGCCTTTCCATAGCATTAATACTTCTAATTTCCTATGTATTGATTGTCCTTTACATTTGAATTGATTCATACTTACCAGGGTTTATAGATGAGAGAGATGCTGATGGATACCATGAAAGGTATCACACTGTTATTTAGATTAATTGATCTATCTTGTTTTTAATTTCTGACAGTAAAAGAACAAACAAACAAAACACTAAAACTCTAATGAATCTTTAACAACGTTCAGGACAGTCTCTATGTAATGTACCCTGCCTATGTTGGGCAAGGAAGGCTGAAGTGGGAATGGATACTCAGATCCACCTCTCTAGATCTGTCCTGGGTGTGTTCTTAAGTCCTCTGACCTGGTCTTTAAAAAAAAATTTTTTTTTTTTTTTTAAGATTTTATTTATTTATTTGACAGAGAGAGAGGGAGAAGCAGGCTCTCCGCTGAACAGGGAGCCTGATGCGGGGCTTGATCCCAGAACACTGGGATCATGACCTGAGCCACCCAGTTGGTGGCTCAGTCGGTTAAGTGCCTGCCTTTGGCTCAGGTCATGATCCTGGAGTCCTAGGATTGAGCCCGGCATCGGGCTCCCTGCTCAGCGCGGAGTCTGCTTCTCCCTCTGACTCTCCCGGACCCTCTCATGCTCTCTGTCTCCCATTCTCTCTCTCTCAAATAAATAAAATCTTTAAAAAAAAGTTTTCTAATAGAAAAGTCATTCATGCTCATCTTAGAAAATTTGGAAAATTCAGAACTGCATAATAGCAGCAAAATAATCTCAAAACCTAGAGGCCATGTTAACAACTTCTTTTGCCTTTTCTTCCAGGCTTTTTTTCTGTGTATATGTACTGTGATGGACTATGTTATTATCAAAATTGAAATTATACCATATTCACAATATCTATCTTGCATTTTATGTCAGCATTTTGTCTTTAGCATTAAATCATTAATTATTCTTGGAAAACATTTTTAATAGAGGCTACCTTAGATATGTATCATAAATGAACTATTTCTATTGTTGGGTAATCAAATTACTTCTAAATTTTGGTATCAGTAACAAAGCTATAGGTATGCCTGGGTGGCTCAGTTGGTTAAGCATCTGCCTTCGGCTCAGGTCGTGATCCCAGGGTCCTGGGATCGAGTCCCACATCAGGCTCCTTGCTTAGTGGGGAGACTGCTTCTCCCTCTACCTGCTGCTCTCCCTTCTTGTGCTAGCTTGCATGCTCTCTCTCTGTCTGATAAATAAATAAATAAAATCTTAAAAAAAAAAACCCACAAAGCTATGGGGGTATCTGGGTAGCTCAACTGGTTATGTGTCTGACTCTTGGGCTCCAGGGGAGTCTGCTGAAGATTGTCTCTCCCTCTTCCTTTGTGCTCCCCCTCTTCTCTCAAATAAATAAATCTTTAAGAAAAAAAAAGCTATGATGACACCCTTACATATAAATCTTTGTTTGCAATTCCAATGATTGTCTTAGAAAACAGTCCTGAAATCCTAAACAATACTGAGTCAAAGAGCTTAAATAATTTTTATTCTTGTTAAATTATATTACTTTTCAGTTTTACCTTAAATTGTACTACTTTTCAGTTTTGCTTAAATTTCCTAGGAAAGTAATATGAATTTGTCTTTCTAAAAAAAAACGTCTCTCCCAAAGTAGATTAACCAGTATGAAGAAAAGTAAAGAGCACCTACAGTGCTGGAAATGTTCTAAACTAGATTATGGTGATGATGCACAACTTATTAAAAATCTTTGAATCATACAATTAAAATGGGTGAATTTAATAGTATGTAAATTATATCTCAGTAAAGTTGTTCTAAAAAAGCACGATCCCTCCAGGGGTGCCTGGGTGGCTCAGTCGTTAAGCGTCTGCCTTCCGCTCAGGTCGTGATCCCAGGGTCCTGGGATGGAGCCCCGCATCGGGCTCCCTGCTCAGCGGGGAGCCTGCTTCTCCCTCTCCCACTCCCCCTGCTTGTGTTCCCTCTCTCGCTATGTCTCTCTCTGTCAAATAAATAAATAAAATCTTAAAAAAAAAAAAAGCATGATCCCTCCATTGAGAAATTTTGAGATTTCTTTCAATATCTTTGATATTATTCTTTCCTCTATCAATATATTTTATAAATTATTTTAATAAAAATATAAGTTATTTGTGGATATTTATTGAATTTTATAGCCAGTTTCTTTTATCTAACTTTTAATGAGAATTTGCCCATTATCACTAAATAGTCTTTGAAAATATTCATAGAGGCTATGCGTAATTTAACTCTTCCCCAAGTCATCAGATATTTGGTTACTGAAAATCGTTCATTATTCTAAATATACTTTGAGGAAAATGTTTTATTCATATATTTTTGGCCAAATCTCTGTCACTGTTTCCTTAGAATAGATGGCCAGAAGTGGAATTACTGAGTCAAACAGTATAGATAATTTTTAGCCGTTATTTTGGTGGTAAAATGTACCTCACATAAAATTTACCATTTTAACCATTTTTAAGTCTACAGTTCAGTGGCATTGTTGTGAAGCCAAAGTATAAACGAACATTTTAAACAACTCCCTGGCCCATTCTTTAACAGCTGAGGCCCTGTAGGAGGTAGTGAAACTAACACTCAAATACTGTGAAATCTCAAGTCAGGCCTTGACTTCCGTCTTCCTATTGATTGTAGAAAGTGAAACTAACACTATTAAATTCTATGAAATCCTGACTCGCGCTCCCGCCGCCTCCGCACCCAGCCCTGGAGCGGCCGCCGCTGAGCGTCCTGCTCCTCGGCGCCGCCGGGTTGCTGCTCCTGCTCCTGCCCCTCTCCTCTTCCTCCTCTTCGGACGCCTGCGGCCCCTGCGAGCCGGCCGCCTGACCGCCCCTGCCCCAGCGGGGCTGCCAGCTGGGCGAGACCCGCGACGCGTGCGGCTGCTGCCCGGTGTGCGCCCGCGGCGAGGGCAAGCCGTGCGGGGCCGGGGGCGCCGGCAGGGGGCACTGAGCGCCGGGCATGGAGTGCGTGAAGAGCCGCAAGAGGCGGAAGGGTAAGGCCGGGGCAGCAGCCGGCGGCCCGGGGGTGAGCGGCGTGTGCGTGTGCAAGAGCCGCTACCCGGTGTGCGGCAGCGACGACGTCACCTACCCCAGCGGGTGCCAGCTGCGCGCCGCCAGCCTGAGGGGAGAAGGCCATCACCCAGGTCAGCAAGGGCACCTGCGAGAGCAAGGTCCTTCCATTGTGACACCCCCCAAGGACATCCGGAATGTCACTGGCGCCCAGGTGTACTTGAGCTGTGAGGTCATCGGAATCCCAACCCCTGTCCTCATCTGGAACAAGGTAAAAAGGGGTAACTATGGAGTTCAAAGGACAGAACTCTTGCCTGGTGACCGGGACAACCTGCCTATTCAGACCCGGGGTGGCCCAGAAAAGCATGAAGTCACTGGCTGGGTGCTGGTATCTCCTCTCAGTAAGGAAGATGCTGGAGAATGTGAGTGCCAGGCATCCAATTCTCAAGGACAGGCTTCAGCATCGGCAAAAATTAGTGTTTGATCCCTCACAATGAAATACCATTGGAAAAAGGTGAAGGTGCTGACCTATAAACCTGCAAAATATACCCGTCTGCATCACTGAAAGTCCTGGATAACTACAGCCCTGTTCTTGCCTAATAACCAGTATCTTTTCCTCCAACCCACTAACGCTTAGTTATATTCACTGGTTTCACATAGAGGAAATCCAAAATAAAGATAACACATCAAGACAATCTACAAAAATTTATTGTCTATTTACAGAAGAAAAGCATGCATGTAATTAAAATCAGTAAAATGTTTTCAAAAAAAAAAAATTCTATGAAATCTCAGGTCAGGCCTTGACTTCTGTCTTCTTCCAGACTGTATATGGAGTCTCTCTTAAATGTGTGGCCTCTCCTGGCTAGCAGCTTTCGTAAAATGTGCCACCAGTCTCTCCCTCATTTCCAAACTTCTCCTACACAGTCAGCGTTCATTCATGTGGTCATCAGACCTTATGGTGTACATATGAGATTTCGGAGTGCTTTCCATCCATCAGGCCCTGTGTTACGCGCACAGGACAAAAGCACACCTCCCCAGCTCCTGAGAAACTCCCTGAGCTCCTCCTCACAAATTCCAGCTACTCTATCCGCAACATGCACATATGGAGAGTGAATTTCTCCTTTATCATAACACTTCGCTTTATATATTTTTATATGTTTACTGTTATTTTGCAATCCAGAATCAAAAGTTCATTCTGCAGCGCCGTGTTACTCTGGACCAACTCAGTCCTCCAGCTGAGTCACTGGGCATTCTCTGCAGGAAGTATTTAACGGATTTCCAAGTTTTCAACTTTGATCTTCAACATGCACATTAAATGTTTCTATCATGGTATTTCTAATTTTGAGGTCAAATTACATTCCCTGGTTATTCACCAAAATACTGCATTTTTGGGAAAAAGTTTCCTTTTCCCAAATCTAACTTTAAGAATACCTCATTTGAAGAAGACAGGGTGTCTGCCTACTGGAAGTTAGGGAAAACGAAGGTAAGCGATCTGCTCACTTTCCCTGAGCCCCGGGCGCGCCCAGAGACCCGGCTCTGAGCACCCGCTCTCCTTGGCGGCCCCACCTGTGTCCTGTCACCTGGGCCGGCGACCCGCACGAGAACACGCCCACTCCCCCGACGGCGCGGGCTGCAGGAGCGCGCCTCCAGTCCCACAGCAACCAGCGCGGTCAAGACAACTACGCAACCACGGACAGCGGCGGCACAGAGCTGAGTCCCCCGCTCCGGAAGGGAGTCGACGCGGCCACCTCCTGGCCAGGACTACCCGGACCGCCGACGGGGCCCGGCCTGTGCCGGGCCTGGTGGTCTAGCCAGCGGCGCCCACGCACCTGCCAGGGGATCCGGCCCACTCCCGACGCTCGCGGCTCCTGGCGCTCCAGACTCGGGACTCTCCTCGCGTCTGACGCTCCCGGCTCCCGGCGCTCCCCGCTGCCGGCGCTCCCCGCTGCCGGCGCTCCCCGCTGCCGGCGCTCCCCGCTGCCGGCGCTCCCCGCTGCCGGCGCTCCCCGCTGCCGGCACTCCCCGCCACCAGAGCTCCCGCACCGCCTGCTTCCGGATTCCGGGCTCCAGGCTCCCGGCGCTGACCTGAGGCGCGGCCCGGCAGGCAGTGTCTGTAAGAGCGCTGCCGGAAGCCCGCCCAAGGCTGCCTCCAGAGGCCGAGCGCTGCGTGGCGGAGGATTGAGGGGCTGCTCCGGGATTAGGCTTTGGGCTCGGGTAGGGTTTCTCTTCCTGGATCAGACTGAGGATTCAGGATTTTTTTTTTTTTTAAAGATTTTATTTATTTGAGGGGCGCCTGGGTGGCTCAGTCGTTAAGCGTCTGCCTTCGGCTCAGGTCATGATCCCAGGTTCCTGGGATCGAGCCCCGCATCAGGCTCCCTGCTCGGTGGGAAGCCTGCTTCTCCCTCTCCCACTGCCTGGTGCTCCCCCCGCTTGTGCTCTCTCTCTCTCTGTCAAATAAGTAAATAAAATCTAAAAAAAAAAAAGATTTTATTTGAGAGAGAGATCACAAGCCGGGGGGGGGCGGGCAGAGGGAGAGAATCCTCAAGCCGACTCCCTCCTGAGCGTGGAGCCTACGGGGGCTTGAAGGGGGCTCAGTCCCAGGACCCTGAGATCATGATCTGAGTCAAAGTCGGAGGCTTAACCTACCGAGCCACCCAGGCGCCCCAAGGGTTCAGGATTTTTTCAGTTCCATCTTTCAGGCAGGATTTGGCCAATGAGGTTAACTCCAAAGTTGGGAGTTTGGTAAAAGTGAGTGGATGGCGCTGCCATTTAACTGAGAAGTGAGAGTAATTCCCGGAAGCAAGTTAAGAAGCAAATTTCGGGAAGGTTTGAGAATGGAGAAGCAGGAGGTTAAGATAATGAATTTAGTTTAGGACTTCCTGAATTTGAAGCTTGTTAGGTAGTGTTCTCAAGTAGTTATAAATGTAGATCTGCCATTCCAGAGAGGTGGGGGCTGAGATTCATTGAGTGGGGAGGGAGAATAATAGGAAACAATAAAATTCCCCAGATACTGAATTAAATGAGAATAGAAAAGAGGTAGAGAGGGTATGGATTTGAATTCTGACTCTTCTATTCATTACTCAGGGATTGTAGACAAGGTACTTTCATCATTACCTTTTGGATGGTGTAAGAATCAACTTAGCTGACTTCAGCAAAAATGGTATAGTAGGGAGCCCCAGGGTCCATCCTTTCCCAAAAACATTTTTAAAACCCAGCATAAACTGTCAGAAACCACCTTATCAGACCGCAGAAGATAGTCAAAGGTTTACAGCAAACAAGCAAATGTGCAGCCAGGAAAAAGGCGACTGAAACCAGGCAGGAGATGTTTACATGTTTTCACTTATTCTAGCTTCATTACCTTTGCCAGCCTTCATTCCCAGCTTGGATAATCTGGCTCTGGAGGGAACCGAGACTTTGTCTTAAGGAATTATGTTTGTTTTGACCTGTGTGGGGGTTCGGTGAGGGACTGATACTATGGGCTTACCTTTGTTTTCCCTAACTCAAATTTTCTCAGGGCACAAAAACAGCTACTTAGGGAATGTAATGTTCAAAAACAGTGAAACGCAAATGAACCAACTCCTGCTTGGGGCAACAAAACCCAAAAAACAGTTGGGGCAAAGGACAGGCTAAGGACTAGGAGGAAAGCATGAGAAAAAAAGCCAGGAGTGTGATTTTTTGGAGGAATAAGGGCTTTGGAAAACTCCTGTGTATACGGGGGCATCTAGAAAGCATCACACTTGCCCAGGACTCATGCTCAGAAAAGACTTGAGAACACATAAGATTATAATTCTGGCTGATCTTTAGGCTGTTGAAGCTGATGAGAGAGCAAAAGGCAAGCTGAGGGCAAAACAGGAGCTGACACCCCACGTTTAACATTCCTCAGGCACTGGTGACTGCCTAAGAAAAAAGGCAGGAGAGAAACAAATGGTCAACTGATAAATATCACAGTCATGCAGGACATGAAACTCCACTATAATTTTTAACTGTCTTAATGATTTACAAGAAAAACACAGTCTTAATAATTAGGTCTCCAGGAACCTATAGACTCAATTTCCTGGAGCCCTAATGACACCTTCACCTCCTTAGGATAGAAAACCCTATATAATCAGTCACTCCTTACAATCACAATACAGCTCTTTCTGCCCATGGGTCTGTCCCTATGCTCTAATAAAAACACCTTTTTGCACCATAAAATGTCTCAAGAATTCTTTCTCCACTGTTGCACTTGACAATCCCGCATCAAATGCAAAATAAACAAACCTTTTAGAATTTCTTAAAAAAAGAGAGAGTTTTATTTGAGCCCAAGTGAGGACAGCTGCCCCAGATACACAATCTTCACAAAGAAGAGAGTGCTCTGGAGAAAGAATGTTTAATACAGGGTTATATATGGTTTTTGTTGTTGTTGTTGTTACACCAAGATTATAAATCATCATGAGGAAGGACATTCCAGAAAATTACAAACTTTATCTTATGCCTTTGGTAAGTGCAATCTTGTAGGCTTTGGAGGTATGGGAATAGAATTTAGGGAGATTTTTACTTTTTTAGTTGAAATTTTTTTTTAGATTATTTGCTAACAAAGCAGATGTACAATGTGTGCTGGGGCAGAAATAGGGCCTCTGCTTTGAAGTTTGGTTAAGTCATTCTGATCTTGGTAAAAATTAAAGTGTGGCTTCCCTGGGAGCTCAGGAGTAGGGCCCACAAACATTAAAAGTTGAAACTTTCCTTTGTCAAGGCTCAGCACGAGCAGGAACTGGAGGCAGAGTTATTTTTTTTTTTAAGATTTTGTTTATTTATTTGCGAGAGAGAGAGAGAGAGAGAGAGAAGGAACACAAGCAGGGGGAGAGGGAGAAGCAGGCTTCCCGTGGAGCAGGGAGCCCGATGCAGGGATCCTGCGATCATGACCTGAGCTGAAGGCAGACGCACAACAACTGAGCCACACAGGTGCCCCTGGAGGCAGAGTTATAAATAGCCCGCCTAAACATAGAAAGAATGCCCCAACACAGAGCCAATTGGCAAAGACCTGAGAGTATTTTTTAACTTTTCTAAATTTTAAAAAAGATTTTATTAATTTATTTGAGAGAGTGAGAGAGAGAGAGAGTGTGCACATGAGCAGGGTGGGGGGAAAGGAGCAGAGGAAGAGGGAGACGGAGAAGCAGATTTCCTGCTGAACTTGGAGCCAGGTGTGGGCTTCACCCGGGGCTCGGTTCCAGGACCCTGAGATCACAACCTGAGCCAAAGTCAGATGCTAAACTCACTGAGCCATCCAGGTGCCCCTTTTAACTTTTCTCCTCTCTTTTCTTTCTTTCTCTTTCTTTCTTTCTTTCTTTCTTTCTTTCTTTCTTTCTTTCTTTCTTTCTTTTCTTTCTTTCTTTCTTTCTTTCTTTTTTCTTTCTCTTTTTTTTAACTCCAGGCATTTAGAAAATCTCAAACCACTAGCTGAGCATTAAGCTAAAGGATAGACACTTCAGAGATCACAGATAACAAAGAGTACAGTCTTCACAAAAAACAGTTTTTAAAAGTCATTAACCAATAGCAAGCAACAACAGGAAATCTTGCAGAGGAGAGCGATTATGTAGAGTTGCCACGTTACAATCCTCAAAATATTTAGGTTTCAACAAAGTTATGTGGCATGCCAAGGAACATGAAAATAAGGTCCATTGAAAGGAAAAAAGAAATTAACAGAAATTGTGCATGAGGAAGCACAAACATAGGATTTATTACACAAATGCATTGAATGGACTATCTTAAATATGCTGAAAGAGCTAAAGGAAAATATGGACAAAGAACTAAAGGAAACCAGAATAACAGTGTCTCAACAAACAGAGAATATTAATAAAGAGACAAAAATGATAAGAAACCAAATAGAAATTTTGGGAGTTGAAAAGTATAATAACTGAAATGAAAAATTCACTAGAGGTGCTTAGCCACAGATTTGAAGAAGCAGAAGAATGAGAATACTTAGAGATAGGGCCATTGAAATGATCAAGTCTGGAGGAACAGAAGGAGAAAAGAATGAAGAAAAATGAACAGAGAGAGCCTCAGGGAACTGTGGGACATCATCAAGAATACCAACATATGCATACTGGGAGATCCAGAAACAGATGAGAGAAATAAAGGGGCAGAAATTTGAGGAAATAATGGTCAAAAACTCCCCAGATTTGGTAAAAGATTAGGAAGCAGCACATCAAAGAAGCTCCAAGTAGGAAAACTCAAAGAGAGCCACACCAAGACACTTTATAATCAAATTGCTAAAAGACAAAGACTAGAGCAATTTATCCCATTAAAGAAATTATCATTAAGATCAATAGCCAATTTCTCATCAGAAACCATGGAGGCCGGAAGGATAATATATTTGAAGAACTGAAAGGGGAAAAAAAAATGGCAACCAAGAATTCTATACCTATCAAAACTATCATCCAAAAAAATGAAGGATAATTAAAGATATTTCCAGATAAATGAAAGCTGAAAGAGTTCATTACTAGTTGGTCTGTTCTATTGCAAATGCTAAAGGGAGTCTTTTATTTTGAAATGAAATAACAGTAGACAGTAAAGTGAAGCCAAATAAAGAAATAAAAAACACTGGTAAAGGTAACTACATAAGTAAATATAGAAGCCGATAGTATTATATTTTTAGTTTGTAACTCCTCTTTTTTCCTATATGAAATTAAATAGACAACACATAAAACAATAATTATAAAACTATGTTAATGGACTTACAATTTATAAAGATGTAATTTGTGACAATAATACATAGAAAAGGGGGATGGATGGAGATATATAGGAGCATAGTTCATACTATTGGATCTAAGTTGGTTTTAATTCAAACCAGGTTGTTTTAAGTTTAATATGTTAATTGTAACCCTAAAGGTAATCACAAAGAAAATAAATAAAAAATATACATAAAAGGTAATGGAAAGGAAATCAAAATGGTATTTAAAAAGAAAACAACTAAAAACAAAAGAAGACAATAATGGAGAAACTGAGGAACAAAAAAGAAGACATAATAGCAAAATGGCAGAAGTTCATCATGAGAAGTAA